GAGTAAGGAGCTTGGAAAGAAAAGTGTCTGGACTTCTTTAAGTTGCTTGAAGACGTTTTACTTCTCATCCAAGAAGACTGAGGCTACGTCCACACTAATGCGTTTTCGTTTTCTCTCCGTTTTGGCCTCACGTCCACACTGAGACGGCGTTTTCCTCAAGGAAAAATGCAGCGTTTTGAAAACGCTCTCAAAAACACATACATTTCAAAAAGAAGCTGTCCCGTCGCAGCGTGGACACTCGAAAACGCAGACGATGACGCATTTTAGTCATGTGATGCAGTCATGTAACCAATTATACAGCAGTTGTTTTGTTTGCTCTCAATTTTGACAGCCCTAAAAAAGATTAATATCAGTTTGTACTCCTGATAGCTTTTCTTTAAATTCTTTAATTCTCACTCGCTTTTGCGCAGGACTGGAACGTAAGCGTTTTGGGCTGTTTCAATGTGGACGCACAACTCTGTGAAAACGACTGAAAACGCTGGTGTGGACACGTTTTCAAGTCTATCTGGGCTGGTGTGGACGTAGCCTTAAGCCCTGTGTGAGTGTTCCCCCCAAGTGGGACAGTGGACCCCCTATTGATCCTCTACCCAATCACACGAGCCCAGGTGTGAAAATGGGTGTGGGTCACAATCAGCCAAGGTTTCGGGTGAGCTCAGACGCTCAGATGCTTTTCTTTCCAAGGTCCTTAGACTACGATGACCTGGATAACTGAGGACCTTCACAGACATTTCAGATGAAGTTTTAAGTGAACAGCAGATGGATCACGTGAAGGGCCAGATGCTTCGCTCAGGTCGTTTCAGCGTTTTGCTGACTTTCTGATACTTTTTGTAGATCTTTTTTTTCCGAGGTTTGCTAGTTCTTCTTTTATTCTCCACTTGTGCAGTTTCCTCAAGGACGTGCTGCACATCATGCCGAGACCAGAGATGGGCAGTAACGCGTAATCTGATTACTTTTTTCAAGTAACGAGTAAAGTAAGGGATTACTATTGCAAAAACGGTAATTAGATTACAGTGACAACAGCTGTGTGCAGATCAACAATGGATCATATATCAGTGCAGAGAGAGTATGAGCGTGCAGCGTTTAAAGCGTGGAAGTACTGACCTTACTTTGAGTTTGATTCCATAAAAAGTGACAAAAACATTAGTGTCCGCTGTGCGTGGGAAGAAAACTTCTTTTTACAGCGAAAAAACCCCTAAACTTCCAAGCAAGCACCGAGTAGCTACGACGTAATGGGAAACTCACAGAGAAACTCGCGGATTCTTCCACTGACCGCGGCACACCTGCACCAGGGTAAACCTCCGCCTGCCCCGCTCCTGCTTTACAGGTGAAAATAGAGCAACAGGACCGCTGAGTCTTTGACTTTATTTATTTTCTGCTGTGTTTTACTTGCATCTGTTTGAAAGACTGAGTGTAAACACAAAAAATATTTTATTTTATGTGCTGGAATGTGCAGAAAATAGGTTTAAATGTTAAACTAATTTCTTCCCGTCAGAGAATGTTGCATATAATTAAATGTTTGCTTGATGCATAAAGTTAAAAGATTAAAACTAATAAACAAGTTTTAAAAAGAGACTTTTCCATCTGATTACATTTTGGATGATGGATTATGCAGAAAAAGTAGAATTGGGCTGAAAGATCTATCACTTTATTACCTATTCAGGTTGTAAATTGTGTTTTTAAAAAGTAACTATGTAACTAAGTAATTAATTACTTTTGAAAATAAGTAATCAGTAAAGTAATGGGATTACTTTTTGGGGGCAGTAATTAGTTACTAATTACTTTTTTCAAGTAACTTGACCAACACTGGCCGAGACATGCCAAATTTTCACCTAATAGGTCGTTGGGAATCACCTCATCGGTGCAAAAATACGATTTTATGCCTGTGTTATTTTTCTCATAAGTTCAGCAAAAGAAAGGGAAATAAATCACGTGTTTTTCCACCGAATTGCTAGAAAGAAAGTTCCTAAAATACAATTTAAAGGTCATCTGTTGTGTTTGAACACACCACGGGTCCATTTCTTGAGTTAGATGCTGTTTTTATGCTTGAGTGAGTCACAGGTCAGTGATACGTGCATTAAGACACACAAAAACATTCCTCTGAAAAATTTTAAAGACCACAAAGAAATAATAAGAAAGCAAAATATAAAGAAATGAGGCATGACTCAAGACTTTTGTATAGTGCTATTTTTAGAAGCTTTAATACAGCAAATCTAAGACTGCACCTCTAATGGCTCACTAAAGGGTTGATAACTATTTTTGCACTCTTACTTCTCGCTGGCTGTTCTGAGTTCATAGCATCCATAAATGTCTCCTGTAACTGTTTTCACAACAATCCTTTGAAGCTGCCTGTGTTTCGTGTCCCTGTGGGTGTGGGAATGAGGATTTGTTGAGTTCGCCCAAGCTGTAGCTTTAGACTGTAGGTTCATGTGTCTTCTGGTTTTCATTACACTTAATTCTGTGTGAGGTCTCGTTAATTTCTTCTATAGACACAAATTCTATCTGCTTTATTAGTACTTACATTTTCTGTCCAGGAGTTTTTCCTGTGCTTCAAACGTAGGGGAAATACCACCTGCCGGCTTACATGCTGTGCTTTACAAGAACAGGATGGATTTGTTGTGGGAAATCTAATGCTTTTCAGGAAGTTTGGGGGGAAAAAATGCCAGTGGGGTGCCTCGATTGCCCACTGTAGGAGAGTCATGGCTAAAAGTAATAATGAGAATAAGAGCTATTTTGGTGAGTAAATAAGAAGTAACGGATGTTGCCGCTGACGCTCACTCTGAGAATTCAGGGTTTCATCTCATTTTCATTTCCAATGCTTCAGCTATAAAGCAGATATTAGGTATGCATCTGTGTGGATTGCAGTATGCTTTTAGGTTTAAGTTCTGTTTTTCCACCGACATTTCCCAGCCACTTCAGTGGGTATATTCCTACTGGGTCGGACGCCGTTTCACCTTCAAAGCTGCTTTAAAACATGGCACAGACCCAACCAGTTGCTGCAAACATTTCTCACAGATTTTGGTCCGTGTCGACATGACGGCATCGCACAGTTGGCGCAGATTTGTTGCCTGCATGTCCACGATGTGACTCTTTGGTTCTACACATACCCAAAGGTGCTGGACTGAGATTAGTGAGTGGATATTCGAGTTACTACTGCCTTACAATCAGCCTTCTTCCCCGTTCTGGTGCTCGGTTGCAATGCACTTACACTGTGTTGCATTTATAAGCTGTTGAACAGGTGTACCCAATGAAGTGGGAGGTAGTGTTGAAGTGTGTCTCCAAATAGTAAGCTTTTGGCACAGTGTCTATGTTGAAATACATCCAGGCAGTTGTTTATCTAAATGAAGGTCTAAGGAGCTTGGAAACAAAGCGACTGGACTTCTTTAAGTTTCTTTCAGCTTTAAGCTTCTATAAGTTACTTAAAGAAGTCCAGTCGCTTTGTTTCCAAGCTCCTAAGACTACCATGACCCGAATGAGTGAGAACCTACACAGGCATATGTAAATGATCAGATCTGTTAAGGAAAAACAGACTTTGACCCAGAATAAGTTTTTATAAAGCTGGTACATGCACTCTTAATGCAATGTTAATGTTGACTACAGTATAAAAAATATATCACTTGACTGTCTGTATTTAATGCACTGTCTGATTGGTTTCAGTAGCAGTATTCAATTTAATTCAGTTTTATTTCTACAGCGCCAAATCACAACAACAAAGTGCTTCTATATTGTGAGGTTGACCCTACAATAAAACGGAGAAAACCCCAAAATCTTGTGACCCCCTATGAGCAGCACTTTGTTGACAGTGGGGAGGAAAAACTCCCTTTTAACAGGAAGAAACCTCCGACAGAACCAGGCTCAGGGAGGGGCGGGGCCATCTGCTGCGACTGGTTGGTGTGAGAGAAGTACTGATATATAAATGAATTACTACTCACAGGGTGTTTTTGGACCGTTTAGCAGCCCAATGAAACAAGACGAGACCCAAACACTATGTAAGCTAAAAATCAGAGTTTACTAGGGAGCTGGATTTTATGGCAGAACATTAATAGACAGACGAAACAAGTTAGTATGACGCTGTGGCTGCAACACATTAGATAATCTTGCAGAGGAATACGGCAAAAAGCGATGTGGTAATGGGGTGCAGGTGTGCAGCTTGGTGTGGAGGTGCAATAATGAGGAAAAGTGGGAACACGCTGTTGGACAGGGAGGAGATGACAGACGAATAGATACCTGAAACATGTTTAGTCTCAATCTAATTTAGACTAAACACGAGGGCTGCGTCCTTTGTGTTGAAAGGGTGTTTTTTGCCGACACGGGGCTGGAAGATTAACCGTGAAATCTGAAATGCAGAAACTGCATTTGTGTTTTGGTTCCCACAGTTCGAAAGGCTCGAACGCCGGTTGTGTTTTGCACTAACGTTCCCATGTCACAAATACACTGCAGCCTCACAAAGTCTGTGTGAACGCAGTGTTTGTGCTGTAATTGCGCTGTTTATTCCAGGCACAGCTATCTGCTGCCTTCAGAGAGATTTTTCCTTTAAGTCTGTACCAGGGAGCTCTGATCTCTGGGTATTTACTCTGTGTGGGAAGGGGCCGCTTCTCCACCAAGCGAGACCAAAGGTTTAAGCTGGGCTCCTTTTGCTAGTGACCCTTCCCCGTTAGTAAGCTGACGCCGGCTGTTTGGAGCTGAGCGAGTTTGGACAATAAATCATTGCCGGCCTCTTGCACAGACAGGAAGTATACAGTTTCAAGGTAACCATGGGAACATCCTTATGGCCTTGTGAAGGAGGGGTACTTGGAGCGGAGGCCAAAAAGTCTGCAAGTTCCTCTTTTCCAACTGGGTTAGTCACTCAATAAAAAAGCCCATTGTGTGATTTAAAATAAGCAGCTCGCAAATCCTCCAGGTTTGTATTTTTTATTAGAGTCACTTGGAAGAAGCTGAATTTTGTCTTTATCTAGTTAAACTCTGGTGTTGATTTTACACTGTCTTTATTTCTCCCCTTCTAGCTGCTTTCCTATCCAGTCTAGGCCAGTATGAGATCGCCATCCCAGTACGTGTAGGACCCAGTGGCGAGATGCTGGACTCAAAAATGACTGAACACCACCAAAGAAGAAGGCGCAGCACTGAAGACAGGCTTCCTGACTCTGTATTATGCTTTTTTATGTAACTTTTTTAAAATTAAAAATACATATATTTATTAATTTCTTGTGCATCTTTCTGTCTATTAGCTCTTCTACCAGCTGTCGACATCCCGGAACAACTTCCTGCTCAACCTGACGCTACAGGGAAGCCTGCTGTCACGGCAGTTCCAGGTGGAGTACTGGAAGAGGGGTCGTTTAGCCTGGAGTCACCCTTACTCTCCTCATTGCCACTATGTGGGACACCTCCAAGACCAACCGCATTCCAGCAAAGTGGCCCTGAGCAACTGTAACGGCCTGGTAAGACTCGACCCTCCCGTTTAAATCCACAGCTCGTACACTGAGTGACGGCAGCAGCAGCAGATCCTGACATCAAAGCGTGACACTTTAGCAAACCTCGAGTCCTCGAGCAGCTCTAAACCTTATCTGAAAGGAAGAATTTATGCTACAAAAGAGACACTTTTCACTTTAAAAGATGACATCATTAATTGTGTCCAGTCCAGCGCTGCTACTGTAGACTTAAAGCTTTTTAAGGTGATTACCAGCAACTTTGTTAGGCGTACCTTTCAAGTGTGGTCCACTTGGTGCAAATATCTAATCAGCCAATCACACGTAAGCATACGATTTGCTGAAATTGTGGTGGAAATATGATTTAAGTGACTTTGAACGTGGCTGTTGGTGACAGACGAGCTGGTCTGAGTATTTCAGAAACTGCTGATCTGCTGGGATTTTCCCGCACAGCCATCCGTTTACAGAGAATGGTCAGAAAAGTTCCAGCGATCTGCATTTTTTGTGAGAAAATACCTCGTTGGGGTCAGTTGTCGATGCTTCATGTTGACCAGAAGGCAACAGCAACTCAAGTAACCGCTCGTTCCAAAGGAGGTATGCAGAAGAGCGTCTCTGATTGTGCATGTTGAAGCAGGCGGGCTGCGGCTGCAGAAGACCACACAGGTTGCCACCCCTGTCAGCTAAGACAGGAAACTGCAGCTGCAGTTCACACAGGCTCACCAGAATGATGATGATGATGATAGCAGACTGGAAAAACGTTGTCTGGTCTGATGAGTCCTGATTACTGCCGCCACATTCAAACATCAGTGTCAGACAGAAACAATACGAATCAGTCCGTCGATAAAAACCTTGTTCATGTCTTTATGGACTTCCACGGTGTTCCCATCTTCTTATGGTGCTTCCAGCAAGATGAGGGGCAACGTCACAAAGCTCAGATCATCTTAAACTGGTTTCCTGAAAATAAAGAAGAGTTCGCTGTACTCAAACGGGCTCCACAGTCACCAGTTTCAATACAATACAACACCTTTGGGATGTGATGGAACAGGACTGATCCGCAGCAGCTGTGTGATGCTATCACATCTGTATGAATTAAAATTTCCAGCACCTTGTTAAATCTGTGGAACAAAGATTTAAGATGTGTCTGAAGCCCTAAAAAAGTAGACGGTGGTGGGGTGGTGTCCAACCCAGTAGTGTAAAGAGTGTAATTAATGAAGTGTCTGGTTAGTTTATAATAATTGTATAAGAAATCCCTGACTATCAGTATTTCCATTCTGAGGATTTATGTTGTGTCATAGTGTAAAGTTGCTTGTGATAGATGGTTGCGAGGAAAAGGCAGTAATAAACTTTATTTAGACTTTTCTACCATTCAGTGGTCCAGTCCACTGCGGGGGCAACCTGCATGTGGCGAATAAAGCTGTTGACTGTTCTAAGTTACTAGAAGGTTTACAGAAAGAAATCAAAGTATATTAAAATCCCAGAGATTGATAAAAACCAATAAAACTAAAGATGGGTAAAAATCAAACACTCACTGTCACGTCTGCGAGGGCGGCGTGAGGAGGATGCGGACCCAAACACAGACAGTGGAGGCGGATCACCTCACTCTCAAAAATGTTTTAGTGCAACTTTGGTAGCTATGAAGCCGCACTTGATGGATTGTTGGAGCATCACGGCTACTGTAGTCAGGAGCCTCGAGGAGGAATCTGGGTCCTGAACTCCATCTTCTTCAGGTCCCAAAAACAAACGAACACTGCAGCATCACTGAGAGTTAAAACTGTCTAAATTCTTTCATCTTTAAATGATCAGCGCTGCTGCTTTACCAGGTGTAACAATTAAGTTTAACATCCAGGCATCCATGAAAACAAAATTTAACAGAGTTAGAAGTTAGCAGGAAGTTAGCTCGCTAGCTTCCACCTAAACATGATATAGCATGTTCTGACGGAGAGATTTCTGAAAAAAAATCAAACGTACAGCTCTGCTATCACTTCCAACATAAATGAAGACAGAAAACTAAACAGTGACGTTTGTAGGGTTACTGAAGTTGGGCTAGCTGCTATATAATGATGTGCTACGTGATCACTAGCTACACAGCTATGTTAGCATAGCATAAACAGTGAAGCTGGAGGATGAACGCTAACTTTTTTCCACTTGATAAAAGTTAACATGAGGGTTCCCGATGGTTAGGGACAAATGCAATCGCATGGCAGGATGCTGTAAACGGACCAAACTTCAGTCAGGAGAACAACTGAGATAATCCATCCACAATACGAGGTTAGTCATTCATATACTGCAACAACATGGGAATAGAGCCGCTGCAGAGAATTCAGCATCAATGAATCAATGGTAGGGAAGAGGAGGAAGCAAGAAGAATGAGCTGAGTAAAGTTTGACTTATCTGACTGTTTTGTTTTGATTAATGCGCCTTCTGGTCCGATATGCCTTATGTACAAAAAATACGGTAACTAGATGTGGAACACAGGGAAGATGTAGCGACAGAGAACTTCAGGCCTGAGTATACAACACACGGGAGACACAGGGACATAGAGACAAGGGTGATTATACATGAAACATGGGACAAAAGCACAGAGTAAACATGGGAACAGAGACTAAACACTGAGGCAGGAAGGACTAAGACCACTAAGAAGTCAAAGAATATTAAATGAGAATCTGAAACACTCAGTACTGTGACATTCACAGAGGCTTTTTACTTGTAATAAAAGTGTTTCAAGAAGAAAGTCAGAAAATAATTTTTTTTTAAGTGCCATTATGATCTCGGTGGTCAGACTTGTTTCACAGCGTGGAGGCTCTAAGCTTGCTCAACTTTGTTTGCTAGCCAAGACCTGGGTAGTAACCGGCAGTGCCCCATGCACTGATCTAAGTAATTGCCCAGGTGCACAAGGTGATAACAGCTCCTCCACCATTCTCAGGTTTACAGCAAATCAAGACAGCAGTAGTTACTTATATGAGGGTTAACATAGTGTCATGTCCAATAAATTTAATAACTGCAATCTGTTAAACGTCTACCTGTAACCTGCAGTGCGTCGTGCTCTGTAATGCTCGCTTTGATCTCTAGAAAGTGTAAATGACATCTTACAGCTGTCTGACGTGACCCTTAAAAGACACCGGATCCATTTCTCTTTCTTTTGAAGTCACCTCAGCCCTCCACGGCGGACGACTCGCGCACACTCGTCGGCGGGTGAGAGCTCGTTCTCCTCTGCGCCCCGTTTCGTTGGATGAATTCATTCTGCTGTATTCACAGCGCTGTGTATCTGTGTATCCTCTCACTACAAACAGCAGACCCCAAAATAACAGTTGTATACGCAGCTGAGGATTAGACGTGTTCGCAAAGCGTTAATAAGCTGGACACGTAATCACTGTTAGTCAAACCAGCGTGAGCGCATTCACCGGCGAGCGGGCTGTGTGTCCAGAGGACCGTCACTAACTTTATTATGGGATTAAAAGCACTTTGAAAGCTGCCGCCGCCATTCGGGTGAGGAGACTCTCGCTCCGACCAAAGCCAACACATCTGAGCGGAATCAAAGGAAGTGTTAGTGTATCGCTCTCTCTGTCTCGCTCTCTCATTTTCCTCGCTCTCATTCACTCTTTCATGCTCTCATGTGTGCTCGTCTGTGTATGTGTGCACCGCCCAAAGGGCCCAACACAGACGGGACGATCGAGCTGTTTCCTGTGAAGTTTGAAGGTTCGCTAGCGTTGTTCACTTTCACCCAAATAATCTAAAGTGTGCCAAGAAAATACCCTGCGCACCATTAACGCCACCAGCAGGCTGACGGATTGCACCGTACAAGCAGGATGTGGAGGATGCTTGCGTTCGTTTACACTCCACCATCCGATGTTTTTCCAATCTGCTGTCGTCCGATCTCGAGGAGCCGGTGTGATCCGCATCCTCAGATTCCCGGCAGGTGTAGCACCTGTTGTGGTCGTCTGAAGCTGCCGCCCACCTTCTCCAAGGTTCAACGTGCTGCGCCATCATCTCTTCCTGTCAGCTGAAAGCAGTCTGACCGTCTGATCTCTGCTTTTCATCCAGAAAACATTTTCTCTTTTTTAGACCATCCTCAGTAAACCTTAGGGATGGTTGTGACAATAGCAGGAGATCAGCAGTTTCTTAAACAATCCACGTTCAAAGTCACCTAAATCACCTTCAGCAGGTCGTCCTGGTCATGCTTGAGTTGCTGCCGTGTGACTGGCTGATTAGGCGTACCTAATAAAGTGTCCAGTGAGCATATTTTAGGCATAGGTATGTGAGCTTAACTGACTCATCTGTTTTCACTTTTTGAAAAGAGTTTCTCAGGAAAACACTCGCACTGTAAAGTCATCTGTGTGCCGTGATGGCAATCCTCATTTTATTCTATTCTTCAAATCTGTTTCTCTGCAGCAGGGGGTGATTGTTGCTGGGGGAGAGGAGTACCTGATTGAACCCCTTGTCTCACCAGATAACCAAACCGGGACAGAGAGCGAGGAGAGAGCAGAGGGGCGCCCCCATGTGGTTTATAAGCGGTCATCGCTCCGCCATCAGTACAAGGGCCAATCCTGCGGAGTCATTGGTGAGACGAGAGATATTCTGGTCTTTTTTAGTAGCGGTTAAGGTCCAGACCGGAGGAGTAAACATCCGCAGGCCAGTCTGTGCACCAGCCAGCAGCAGAAGGCTGCGGCTGTGTCTGCGTTCCCGGTTGTGATTAGGCGTGACCGAGTCTGTGTTACAGGGCGTTTGCTGAAAAAGTACAAGTATGTTTGGAAAGCCGCCGTTTGACAAATATAAGAAAAGAAAGATACTTTGTAAAGCTGCCCTTTAAAATCTGCCCTACGATTACGCAAAGTGTGTCGAGTGTTTCGTCTAATTGCTGTTATTGCTGTAATTATTATTAATCTGTGGTCAAATGATGGGAAAAGCGAGAGAATCTGTTTCCGATACAAAGCTGGATCAACTTGAGCTCTTTTCAACAGCACGCTGTCAAAATGTAAGATTGTGTGATCTGCCTCAGACGAGAAGCCGATGAAGGGCGCGTCGTGGTGGCAGCGGACGCTGAAGACGCCTCCTCATCACGTCGGCCGTGGCCAGCTGCCTCTGAAGCGTTCGGTCAGCCGGGAGCGCTACGTGGAGACGCTGGTAGTAGCTGATAAGATGATGGTGGGTTATCACGGCCGCAGGGACATCGAGCAATACATCCTGGCAGTCATGAATATTGTAAGTTTCACAACGCAAAAGCTTTCCTCTTCCTCTAATGAAAAAAGAAAAAAAACCAGCTTTCAGCGACTGACTGTCACATGGCCGTGATTTGGTGGCCTGGCGTCTTTCGAAGCAAAGAAGGAAATGTTATTCAGCTGATTAAAGGCGAGCTGGAAAGAACAGGGTCGTCTTCACTGACAGAAATAAGTCTCCAAGGCCGAGTCAGGCTTACGGGGGATGTATTATTAATGTTTATAGACAGAAAGAAAGAAAAACAAATGCGTAGCTGTTGCCTGATTTCTCCTCGGGGAGGCCACATGTTTTAGTCAGTGAGGCTTTCATACGTGCAGTTAATCACTGGAAAACCGTACGCACACGGGAAGGAATCGCTCTTGGTTCTTTAATACAGATTTGCTCTAAAAATAGTCCAGTTTCTTTTGGTTATACATTAAAGTCACTTAGCTGCATTCTTTTTGCCCTGGCTGCACAAATTATTCCCGACTTTCCAGGGTGATGATTTGGAAGGTCAGTGCTTAAGCTGTTGTACACGGAGAACACATTAGTGCTGCGTTTAATGTGAACGCCTAGCTAGAAAATGAAGACACAAGCATATAAGTGTATGGCTCTGGTCTGTTTAGATACAAAGCTCTCCTCTCCAGTGCAGTATGCTCTGACTTTCAAACCACCATATGGATGAAACCCTGGTTAAAATAAAAGCACCTGTTTATGCAGTCAGAGCGGCGGGATCTGTATTTGTATTCATCAAAGTCCCGTTTTCTCTCGTCCCCAGTGTGTTTTTTTTGTTTCTTTTTTTCGTTTGGGCTCCAGCGGGGAGAAATGACGGGAAAACATGTCTATCATCTACAGAACATACACTAACGATTGCCAGGAAAAAGCCCGCCGCGGTGTGCTCGGCTGTTCTATCAGCAGTTTTTAAGACTGGTCTTTTCTTGTTTCCCTGGAGGTCAGGTTGCCAAACTGTTCCAGGATTCTAGCCTGGGGAATGCAGTCAACATCGTGGTGACGCGGCTCATCCTGCTCATGGAAGACCAGGTAAGGTGCATGAATTACTGCTAATACTAATGCTTTGGTCCTACTCTTTCCACAGTGTGTCTTTTGTCCCGCCCCTTCCTGAGCCTGGCTTTGTCGGAGGCTTCTTCCTGTTAAAAGGGAGTTTTTCCTTCCCACTGTCGCCAAAGTGCTGCTCATAGGGGGTTTCTCTCTAATACTGTGTGGTCTTTACCTACAGGTAAAGTGCCTTGAGGTGATTTTGGCACTATATAAGTAAAACTTACTGTGACAGAATATACATAACTAACGGCTTTTATGATCCACTGGCAGCATGTGGTTTTTTGGTGCACTCAAAGGTTTAGTGGGTTCTAGGCAGATAAACTTGAATTGATTGGCACCGAGCACATTTTCCCCCACTGATTATTTGAATAAATTAACTTTTGATTTGATATATTTCAGTTACATTTTACAAATTATTGCTTTGTGTGTACATCCATTAAAAAAAATACGATTGTAATAAGGGAAGAATGATCAACCTTTTCATCTAGGAGCACAATCAGGGGTAGAGTCACATGTTGAACAAGAGAAGGTGAACACAGAAGACGCACTCATGCTAGCATTTAGCTCAAGCCGCTGCCGATAATATGGCTGCAGACTCCTTTTCACGTGTATTATAACGCCAGCGAGTGACTGCAGGTCAGAAAAGATGCAGCTGCCGGAGACAGAGTCCACACCTGACCGCAGGGCAGGAGTTTAGCTCATAAAAAAGTGCATGACCTTACCAGCACAGCTCAGCAGACGACTGTGCCATGTGACTCTGTAGTAAACGACCTTATTAGCCTGCCATTAACAGCATGCGGTGAGACGTGTACCCGGCTCCGTTTTAATGTTAACCTTGTAGCACTTTGACAGATGAATCATGCTGAATTAAAGGGGAATTACGGCGCTGCTTTGAGGTTTCCTCTGTGGCCGTCTTATTAGGGAACATTTATGATTCATGCTTTTCATAGTGCCTCAAAATTAGAGCCCGTAATTTAGTGCCAGGATATGTTCGTTATCTCACATGGTAGTGAAGTAAATGTTAGGGTCATTAGCGGTAGGCGAGTATTAGTGTTGTTATTCTTACTCCGTGGACCGTTGAGGTCGGGGCGGGATCGAGAGTGTTCTGTGCAAGCGCTCCTGCTGCCGTTTTCCAGGTCTGAATAGGCAAGCTGCCCCTGGAAAGGAAAATGAGGACAGCAGTAGGGCCAGAAATGAGGGACTGTGGGATAAGACAATTACTAGTTATGTCACCGCACACATTCCTGGGTTACGAGTTCTCGCCAGCTGTGGCCAGCAGAGCACTCCCTCCGCGCTTCTACATATCTTTTACAGGATTGAGGGACTAAGATGCAATGCTGCGGTGGAAAAATGCCTCAATCGCTGCAATAAAGGAAGACGGGGTTATTATAGCATTGTTGTAATTGTTGTTGATGTTGGAATAACTTCACATTAAGTATCTTTCGTTCATTCCTGAAGCTGATTGTTTTGTGTTTAAACAAAGGAAGTGCTTCTGTTGTCTGTCCCCACCAGCCCACACTGGAGATCAACCATCATGCGGGGAAGTCTTTAGACAGCTTCTGCAAGTGGCAGAAAACCATCCAGCACCGCAGCAGCTACGGGAACGCCATACCTGACAACGGCATTGCTCATCACGACACCGCCGTGCTCATCACCAGGTCGGAAACCTCGAAAAGAAAAACCTGTCCTGCGGGAATGTCCGCTTGTGACCCTCGTAGGAACAAATAACCTCAATTAAGAGTCAACAGAATCAGTCATGTGTTGAAAACTAAATATAGTAAGGTTGGCCCAGCCAGTAAGACCTGACCAGGAGAGCTGGGCTGTCCAGTTCAGGCGCCACACAGCTCAGCACCTGATCAGACAGTGACACCGAGATGATCCGCCTCCTCCTCCGAGTTCACTGGATCTCATGGATGGATTTAATGTGCTATCAAGTCCTGACAGGCTGAATTTGACGCGGCTCCCTCGATTAACTCGTCTTAAACGACAGCATGTAGTCCGAGTGTTGCCCGACACTGAAGATTGTTTTTAACTTCTCTTCATTCCACTTTTCCTGAACCGGTGTTTTGGCATCGCTCCGCTTAAGGGATGGGGGAAATTTATACAGTATAGCTTTTTGCAAACTGATACAGACTCTGTGCAAGTCAACATTTATGGCAGGCATGAGTGTTCGTATGCTTACAATCTCATTTTTGCAGCCCCCAAAAAAGGGAGATAAAACAAATACTGACATAGTTTAACTTTGGGGGGAAAAAGGTGATGAATCATAGTTTACGTTATTTGAATACTCGCATTTAATGCACAAAATGCAGACACCAGTGGCAGATGCATGTTAAGTAAAAACAAAAAAAACACTGGTGCTATTGACTCAGGAATGTGCAACAGTGAACAGCACGGCCACGGTTTGGTCAGAGTCATCTGAACGCACTTGTGCTCGGGCAGCGCTGCCACAAATACTTTCCTATTCTGTGCAAAAGAATGTGCCACGAACTCGAGCTGCGGGAGGTTAGCGTTGGCGAGGGGAGGTGGGGCGTGAAAGCAGATAAATGTCACAACTTTTTTGAGATGCGGTCTTGGTGGCGGCTTGGTGAGAACAGCTCGGTTTTACAGCAGCATTTATCAAGCGGGGATGGAAGCTGTTCAGACGCGATGACACCGCAGTGACCGTCCGCGGTTTCCGCCTATTGTTCTTTTAAAACTTTATCCGTCTGCTGTCGCTACTGTGTGCATGTGTGACTACGCTGCGTGTCCAAGTGTGTTCACATGTATCTTAAGCAGCAGCTGATGCAGTTTCTGCACCTTGTTGTGTACGACTGTCAAACCTCCTTTTTGTTTTTCCTCACGTCTTGCAGGTATGACATCTGCATCCAAAAAAACAAGCCCTGTGAAACTCTAGGTAACCTTCCATCACACGTGACCACAAACTTCCATATTTCTGATCCCGCTGACTCTTTCTCCTAGCCCTGACCGTCACAGCTTCATGCTTCCTCCCAACCGTAACCATAAACGTAACCCTACACCTTCTTCCATCCTTAACTCTGAAATCAGTTACTCATCTGAGAATAATTTCAAGGGTCCCACCCAGTGTGCTCTTACTTTCCAAAGAGTTGCAGGTTTGACGTTAAAAAAAGTGTGCATGCATGTTTAAAGTTCTTACATGCTCAAGAAGGTGCGATGCAAATGATGTGCATCTGTGTACTTTTACACTCTGCATGTTTACTGATAACAACGCACGCTTTACTAAAAGCAGAGTTGGCAAAATAGTGAGCTGCGGCTGCTGGGAACATCATCCTTTCTCTCAGTTGGGATTCTCATTCGGTTCGTGTGCTTGCTTCAGAGTAGAGTTGTTTTTTATATTCATAGAGTGCATTTCTGCAGGTCTGGCTCCGGTAGGAGGGATGTGTGAGCCAGAGAGGAGCTGCAGCATCAACGAGGACATCGGCCTGGGGACGGCCTTCACTATCGCCCATGAGATTGGACACACGTGAGTAACAAACGCACGCACGCTCTCATTTTTAATTTCCTGGACACATTTGCAGATGTTGCACAAAAAAAAGAGACTTCTGTTTGATATCATCTCATCGCTGTGCAACATCGTTTACTTGTATTTCTAATATAATTACTCTGGCTCGATAAAAATCTGTCGAATGATAGGAAAATCCCGCAAGTTTGTGAATTCCAGGACAAATTCATCTTCGCCACAGAGGCAGGAGCGTTGCAGAGCTCGAGGTGTCAGACAGCAGAAGAATTACAAATATTCCTTCAGTTTCGATGCTGCTGGCCACAGACGGCAGCGTCGTTTCCAGAATATACGGCCTTTGCAAATATTAAACCGGCTGCCAACTCGATGAGTAGATCCATCGCAGCTGTCCGTGAAACAAGACTTAAACATGGGTTTGAAGCTGTCTGGGATTTAAAGGAATTGATTTATAGCGATGCTGAAATGTCTTTCAACCACCATCCCACGAAAATGCCGTATAAATGTGTCAGCCTTGTTTCAAAGTATGCGTTGGGGGGTTGTGTTATAAACCTCCGGAAACGGGGTCAAAATCCACAAGTGTTTCTTTTAGAAATCGAGCACCGAGGCCACAGGTAAGTGCTTCACACGTGATGACAAACATCTGTTCTTTAAATAAAAAAGACGCACAATCTGTGATCCGTGAACTAGACCTGGTTGTCCTTCCTGAAACGTGAAATGTCCCTTCGGGGTGTTTCTGATCTTCTGCTGGGGACCGAGTCTCGAACATCACGAGTCAAATCCATCAGTAAGAACGCTGAACGTCGTTCCTTTGCATCCCAGTGAAATCCGCTCACGAGCGGGAGTACAATTCTGTCTCAACATCTGTTACTGTTGTATCCTTCAGCAATTCACCGTCCCGTTCATTTATGTATGAAAATAGCATCGAGAAGTATTCGTGCAGATGGTGGATCCATCAGGGTTCTGCTTTCCTAATGGTTAACACAGGTCTTTGTTTTTTAAAGCACCCAAACCCTGAGGGTACCTTGTCAACATGACTAATTAATGTATATATATGCACACATGAGGGTGCACACATGAGGGTGCACACATGAGCGTGCACACATGAGCGTGCACACATGAGGGGACCAAACACGAATGACTCTGCAGGGAGGTGGAACGTTTTGAGAACAAACGCAGCTACTGAGAGTGATATCGCTGCCTGCCATGGACTCCTTTGCTTCTTGTACGTGACTCTGAGGTTACAGCTGTTAATCAAATACAGTAAAGCAAACAATTAATTACGTTTTTGTGAAATCTTAGAGATTCAAACATTGCATTGTAAAATTTTGTGCATAAATTACAAAGATCTTCAGCATGCAAGCGTACTGACTTTGCTGATTAATCTTATTACTTACTTATCTTATTTTCAAGAATAATTCAAAAATTCTTTGCTGAAAGAAACCTCAGGAATGAAAATATGCCCGCCGTTAGGAGTACGAGGAAGTGTCGCCTTTTATGTATCAGGACATCCTGAGAAAATGAGGTAAATATGATCTACGATGAACAATAAGTCATGACATATTACACCGTGTCATTATTCGTTTAACAAAAAGCCAACCCTAACCCTGACTAGAGTGTGAGTAGCACTTGATGAACTGATCGTCAGCAACTGTGAGCGCCTCCAAAGAAGCAGAAGTTCTGTCAGTTTGCTGGTCTGCAGACATCAGCAATGAGGATTCACAGGGTGATTTCCAAGAACGTGAAAAACATTCATGACTAGGGCTGCTCGATTATGGCAAAAATGATAATCACGATTATTTTCACTGAAATTGAGATCACGATTATTTGACGATATTTATTTAACCCTTTAAGATCTACCATAGAACCAAGTCCGCCAGAGCTTATATTATTTTTTTTTTACATGCTGTAGTGCCATTTGTGGGAGCATTTCAAGTTGCTATACATCAATACAACTGTTATAGCCTATATTTTAATAATATGTATGCATTAAGTCCATAGTAACTACATTAATTACAAAAAAGTGCAATAAACTACAAAAAAATTGAAAATCGTTTTTGTTTTGTTTACATATATTTCTACTTGGAGAAATTTAAGAGGCTTATCCCTCAAAACTTTAAATACAAAAAAGTTGCAAAAAATAGTTTACAACAACAGGAAATTTATTTTGAGTGTCTTCATAGTTTTATTTTGGAGATACAGCAATTTTTATATACTGCAGGAAAAACAAAAAAAAACAATCCTATGATGCAAATTTGCAAAGAATGTGCATCAAAATAAACTATTTCCAGCAGTGCAATTCGAGTTCTAAGGCCTACAAGTAAAAAACTACATTTTCCGCGAAAATGACGTCACTTGCGATAGTTCGCGTTGACGTCTTTTTCAATGTGGGAAGTGTTAAGAACAGCTGATCGGATCGGCAAAGCCTGTTTCTGGAATATTATGTTTTTGTTCCTGCAAGCGCTTTTTATGCACTTTTTGCAAAGCTATATTTGGAAGGAAACCGTGACCTAGGACAAGCTGATGGCATAAGATGTAAGTACAACTCCTCTGGTTTCATATGGAGAAAAATTTATTGTGCTAGCTTAGCGGTTCAGGTTCTACAGGGATTTAAAAATAGTTACACAAAACGAGCATGCTGCTCTGACCGGCTTTAAAGGGTTAACAATAACAATGTATTGAATAATGACTTTAAAAAATAATATAAAATAGTGTGCAAATACTGATAACAGTGCAAATGTTTGCAATATAAGAAATAAATGAAAAATGTAAACTTTGCAGTGTTGCTCTGTGGTGCAGCTACACTGTAGCAAAGTTTACACACTGTGTCTACTTGATCCACGTCTGACTCCGCGAACCCATAATGTTTCCACACCACTTAAGGTTTTTTTTTTTACCTCTCTTTTCAACCAACGGCAGTCACTCTCCTCTCCAAATAACTTCTGCTTAGCTTTCCGAGCTTCCTTCGGGTCCTCTTAAGTATTCGAAATGCAGAGCAGTGCGCTTGATTTGCCACACGGAGCAGCGCGAGAGTAAAGCATGAGGGAGGGGCTAATAATCGGCTCAGTCATTTTTAATGATCGTTGAAAGCCCAGATCGTAATCGTGATTAAAATTCGATTAATTGAGCAGCCCTATTCATGACAGTTGTCAGTCAAAAACCCCGAGAGCTCGATATCAGACTCCACAGGCCTCAGTAAGCATGCTAAATGCTAAAGTTCAGTACAATCCAGTAGAAAAAGCCTGTTTGGAAGGGTTGCCAGCACAAAGCCTCTTCTCGCCAAAAGAAGACGGCAGCACGGCTTAAGTTTGCAAAGTTACATCTGAAGAGGCGGCAAGACTTTAAGAGCGAAGTCCTTTGAACAGACCAGAGTGGAGATGTTTGACTGTAATGCTCAGCTGCCAGAGGCTCCTTACAGTCATTGAGCAAACCATGAACTCGTCTTCTGAAGTCATCATTGGTTCATGAATCAGGACGATTATACCGAACACAGCAGCACATCTACAGCAGACCCACATGGAAAAGAAATAGTAAAAACTTACATGATCTACTCATGAAAGTGGCCACTTTCTCATTACTTTCATATATTGTTTTAGTATCCAAAACATACAAGTTTCATTTATATAATTTTTAAGGATCTTGTATCTGTTTTCACTCTTGTATGCTTTTCATACAAGTTTCATACAAGACAGATACAAACTTTAGAAGATTTATCTTTTCCATGTGGGGAATGCCTAAGAAAACGAAGTAATCGAGTACTGCGACGGCCCAGTCAGAGTGAGATTGGGGAGTCAAATGATGCGAGATACTCGATAGAGTCACAGGAAACAATAATAAGTTATCGCTGCTAAAGCTTCTGCAAGCTTCTGAATCGAGAGGCGTGCTTAGTTTTTCTCACGCTGCTTCTGAATTTCAGCTTTTAGTTTGTTGTTATGTAAAATATCAAAATCCGTTCATACGTCTGGGGTTGTATTTCAATAATTTTCTGATGATATTTCTTTAATCACATCTTGATGTGTAAAATCTTTGACTTGACAAAAGGCGTGTTTTCTTTTTCCAGGTGAAAGCATTTAATACTAGAGTAACAAATCCTCACAAATTTCCTTAGAAATTGATTATAAAAGTAACCTGATTAGAAAGGCAGCTCTCAACTTGACCCCGTGTGACACAAAATTGGCCGTTTTGTTGTTATTCAAACATAATAACACGAGAGTTAAGACGTTAAGCCCCTTTAAAGCCGTACAGATGTGCCTTTATGAGGTGTAAATCAGTCCCAGACTCGATGTCCAATAAAACAACAACACCACCAGGGTACCAGGTTCTCCTGGAGACCGCTGTCCTAAAATGATACTAATGAAACATCTGGTGGGATTTTTTTGATAGATGGAAAGTGGACGTGTCAGACAGCTGTGGACTGTAATCTTTCACATGTCTGTTCTTTAGATCCCTCTCGGTTATCAACAGTGATCTTTTTTCCACTGTCCCCGTCGCTGCTGCAGGGATTATTACCGTCCACATGGCCTCAAAGTGTTGTCACTGTATCATCATGGGCTTTAGGTTTGGGATGAACCATGACGGCATGGGGAACGCCTGCGGGCCCCGCAGCCAGGAGACTGCCAAGCTGATGGCTGACCACATCACCATGAAGACAAATCCGTTCATCTGGTCCGCCTGCAGCCGGGATTACATCACCAGCTTCCTGGAGTGAGTCAGATTATCTGCAGCGGTGTAAATCATTTGTAAATGTGAGGGTTGAGGAAGGAACGGTCTCACGAAGACTGGTGTAAAATGTCTGATGGTCAGAGAAACATCCGAGTCGCAGACGGAGCAGGAAAACTTACCGCAGCCCGTTTAGTGTTTTTTCTTTCTGTCTCCTCGTTTGCACCTGTAGCTCAGGTATGGGCTCCTGCCTGAACAACGTCCCGCCAAAGCAGGAGTTTGTGTACCCCACCACAGCGCCAGGTCAGGCCTACGATGCAGACGAACAGTGCCGCTTTCAGTACGGCGTCAGGTCTCGACAGTGCAAATACGCGGTGGGTATATTTTCTTATCTTTCGCTCAACTTTTACAGAATTTTTCAATATTCATATTTTTTTCTTACAGTATATTTTCTGAAAAGATCCACGGACAAACGTTTAAGTGATGTCTGTCGTTTTTATTGTTTCTGCCACTGGAGAGAAAAAAGATGTCATGTTAGTGTGTTGAAAAACTTTACATTACCTCCAATTTGCTATGGGTGGTCTTCAGACTTGTCGATATACCGTGACATGAGTACCGAGGTTGGCTTTGACCTTCATTGTCAAACTGCACGACTACACCTTAAAAGTTTTTCCAGCTTGGAGATTTCAGCCTATTCTGTTCCAACCATGTGAGTAAACGTAATTAAATACACCATTATGGTATGTAACACTCTAAGGTCAAAGGTCAGTGTCAAACAAATTAGGAAATGTCTTTACAATGACACAGGAAGATGAATATACTACACTAGACACTACACCAAGCTGGAGAGGTTATATCTCTTGGCTGGCCTGGGAACATCTCGGACTTTCCCTGGAGAAGCTGGAGTAGGTCCGGGCTCTGCTCAGGGTGCTGTCCCCGCGACCCTGGATAAGCGGCATGGACAGATTTTCATATAACATCAGCATAAAACGTCCAAGTTTTAGAATTGCCCTTTGGGGGTAGTCGAGTTCAACATAACGACCCAAAAATTTTCAACTCTGCAAAAGTGGCATAAACAGGCATCCATATAATTGCACTTTCATGCTCCGTTAGTGATAGTATTTAACCTGTCTTAAGTATCCCTGCTGTTATAGACAATTATGAATGCAGCAGGAGACCCATCGAGAGGCAGAAAGGAGCAGTTTGTTGCAATGCAGTCGTCATCAATAACAAACACGCAGCACACTTTTTGTTTTTAGGCCCTTTTAAGTTTCCGCCCTTGAGGTGTATGCAGTGCCTCGAACACCTTGGTTGACACAGTTATATGTGTTTAAAGCTGGAGAGGATCCAACATGTGGCACAGGAAGTATAGGATACAAACAAAGGAAGCTTTAATAGCTGAATAATAATCCAAGAAACACAAAAGTCACAGTGGGATCAAAAGTCCACAAACATGGAAAACCAATAAAATCCACAAAGAAACTTAAATCTCAATGGAAATAAACAGTTTTTGCATAATTAAGATTAAGGAACTGACCTCCAGCCCGTTGTTCCTTCAGTGGTGCTGGTTTCAGTCATTATGCAGATGTCCTGTTTATAAGGTTGAAACCTGCAGTCAGCTGAGACTGAAGACGTCACCTGATGATGACGAAACATTTCTCCCACTGAAAACGTCCAGATGAACAGAATCAACCTTTGGAGAAATAAACAGGTTAGCACCCGTGGGACACACCAGCCTGTACGCAGGAAAACTACAGGTGAAAACAATCAGGTGAATCAGGGGAGACGGACAGGAAGCAGAACTGAACAAATGAACCCTTCAAAGTAAAACAGGACAATCCCACAGACACGGGTATGAACACTAGCACTTAACAGGGGGACGCAGGGGGGCCGGAGCGTAAACAAATACACGGGAAACCATTAATAATACAGTCAGCTATAATAAACCAAGACAAACTAAAAACCAGTGCATCGTATAAACAAACAGCCTCAAACCGAGACCCAACGAGTGCAGGAAAGCACAACGGGAACTCTCCAAATCCAACAAACACAAAAACCAGAACCTTAAACAGCAGAATAATAAGACTGAGACGAGTATCCAGAATCTGAGAGCAAAACATCTCCACATCCCACATGTGGTGCCCACCATAACACCCACACACACTTTCTCCCTCTGCCAGCCTTTACAGTCAGCTAATCCTTGTGGACTGGTGTTGTTTAAACAACGAGCCTCACTTTCTTTCACCGTGCGTCCATTCGCAGGCGCCTTTCAAATCTCCTTACAAATCTGTGATGTGAAACATCGTACCTTCACTTAATAGCATCCACTTTATTGCACGGTCAAGTTTTACGGAGCCGGGTTCAGAGTGAGCGGACATCTGGAACAGCAAACTGCTTTATAGACTCGTTATTATTGATACTACGCGGTCAGAGCACGTGTACACAGTAAAACATAACCCCCACCGCCAGGTGTTGGAGGCACTGCTACAGAGGGAGAAGAGAGGAAGGTGAACAAGACACACATCTGCTCTCACGTCTGGGTTTTGACCGTCAGGTTGTCTCGCTTTATGCTTTCTTTTCTTTTATCGCACGTCTCGCCGTCTCAAATGTTTTTTTCTTTGTACTCTCTTTCATTCACACACACAGGAAGTCTGCAGTGAACTTTGGTGCATGAGTAAGAGCAACCGTTGTATCACAACCAGCATTCCCGCTGCAGAGGGAACCATCTGTCAGACCAACACCATAGAGAAAGGGGTAATAATGCTCTTTTGTTTTAATTAGGGCGTAAAGCAGTAAAGCAAAACAAAGTCCAAATATGGCTGCAAGTGAGGGCCGAGTGTTCACGAGAATAAAGAAGAAGCACGTCATCAAATACCTGCACGATTACAAATTTAAAAAAGGGAAAAATATCATCTCAGTAAACATGCGTTGGTAGGTTTGTGAGTCACGTGTGTTTCTTTTGTTTTCTCTTTGAGATTAGAGCGTATATGCCGACGCCTGATGTTGCTGCACATATCCTGTCCAGAATTAATTAAAAAATGTTATTGTTGCCTTACAAAGCCCTGGATGCACAGGCTCCGGGTATTTCTCTGACCTCTTGCAGCCTTATACCCCCTTAGATCTCTTAGATCAAGTGATCTTTTGCTTTTACCAAGGCTGAGGCTCATAGAGGCGATCGAGCGTTTGCAGTCGTAGCGCCTATGTCATGGGCCGGGGTGCGCGGGCACGAAAGGATCCAGGCGCAGACTCCGAGCTAACAGAAAGACACTTTATTGAAACAACGAAAGGCGACCCGGGGAAATTAGAGAGCAAAACAGAAACTAAAAACCCGGGGAAACAATGACACGAGGAAGCCGGGATCGGGACGGCGGGGGGCTGCAATAGAAAGGGGAGATGATTACTAGGGAGCCAGGAAGCAGGGAAAGCATATCAGGACTGAGTTAGAGTAGGGGCTTACGATAGAACGGGACCGTGGGAGCTCAGGAGGGAAGTGTGGCAGTCCGTGGGGGCAGGAAGTCCGTGGGAATGGCGAGTGGGCCAGGTGAGCACCGCGAGATCCAGTTGAGCCGGAGGACAGGCAGGTAGCAGACGCCGAGTAGAAACCTGGACAGAAGTAGGCAGGTTAAACAAAGTTTCAAGCAGAAGAGAATGCACGCTTTTCGTGGAAGTCTGGTTACCACTGTGGGGATGACTACGGACTGGCGTGGAGCATCCGTCAGCGCCGGATTAAGTGGATCTCCGTGTAATCACCGTGATGGAGAGCAGGTGTGCTGGTGATGGCCCAGCCCGGGGGTGTGGCTACCCGAGCATCACGCATTCCACAGACACAGGACCACGGACCATGACAGCCTAAGCTGGCTTTTAATACAGCATGAGAGTTATTTGTTAATTCATATTTGGTGTTTGCTATCAATACTCTAAGTTATTTTAGTAGGTATGTTGTATTCTTGTGCAGCACTTTGGTCAACGCTCTTGTTGTACTTAAATGTGCTATATAAATAAATCAAATATAACTATAACTATATATGATAATTGCTATACTTACACGTATCTGCAACTGTGCAGTGGTGCTACAAGAGGGTGTGCGTAGCGTACGGGACTCGCCCACAGGGTGTGGATGGAGGCTGGGGTCTGTGGTCTCCCTGGGAGGAGTGCAGCAGGACATGTGGAGGCGGCGTCTCCTCTTCTGTCAGACACTGCGACAGCCCCAGGTACGGATTTAGCTCACCTGATCTTAGCCAACGCGTCCTCCATGTTTTTATTGTTGAACTTTACTAAAGCAGCTCAGTGTGATTCAGAAGGTGAACCACATTTATCTTACTTACTTACTCCGGGTGGCGTCTCGGTTCATCCTCAGTAATAAGCCTTGTAGCTTCTCATTGGCTGCCCCTCATAAAAGGAAAGCTTGCATAGCAGGTGGGTGGAGCTTCTGTGGTTGCAGTTAAATGACCATATGAGATGGTAAGTATTCATATATTATAAGAGCTGTTGTTTCAGTCCAGAGGATCTCCAGATTATAGCCCAACATCCAAAACACACAGATCAGGATGGACACAGCCAGCCCACCCATGTGTGCAAGTGGAAGCCTGGTAATCGATGCTTGAATTGCAATAGGATCTTTTCATTATATGTTTTTAGTTTTCCAAACTGGTATTTATTCACTACTGGTTAGATTAAATCCAAAGCCATAGGGCAGAAGTAAATGAGCCATTAAATGCTGCTTCTTCAAACTCAAACACGCTGAAAACATCAGTCCTATCATTTAATCCAAGATGTTCTTGCAGGCAGCAGCGGAGTGGGGATGATCACAAAATGACCTTTTAAATCGCAGATGCCAGATGCCTGGTCTCGAACTGATTAAACTGAAAATGGATTGACCCAAATCTGAGCCCGACACTCTCCTGTGTCGTTTTAAGCGTCATTTAGCATCTTTGATTTGGCTTCGTTCTCTTTGAATTTGTTTACGGTCTAACACCAACAGTCATGTGAAAATGGCAGACGGCAGCTCTGTTTGTGAAAAAACAATAATGCAGTACAGTGAATTTAAACACGAAGAAAGCTGAAAGTCAGTGCTGTGTGTGATGGACGTCGGATCTCTTTGTGTCACTGCAGACCAACTATTGGTGGGAAATATTGCCTAGGAGAGAGAAAACGCTTCAGGTCCTGCAATATAGATGTGAGTATTACGGCTCTTCATCATCATCATCATCATTATTGCTCTCATCAACTAGTCAAACCACTATAATCAAGAAGAGGACTACGGTTGGAATGAATGTGTTTTATCTGCTTGCACGTATAAAACTGCGTGCACACGTGTATGTTACAGGACTGCCCCGCAGGCTCTCGGGACTTCCGAGAGATTCAGTGTTCCAACTTCGATAGCATCCCCTTTCGGGGGAAATTTTACACCTGGAGGCCTTACAGAGGAGGTGAGTGAGTAGTGCTCGTCTCTCTTGGGTTTGTGTGCGTGCATGAGTTTAATGTGAGCTAGCAGACGTTTCCCAGACCATCAGGTGTGACCAGACCAGGTCAGTCAGTGGTGGTTTGCAGGTAAAATAATGAACATATCCACTAATCAGGAGGTTAGCAGATATCTCTGGGCAAGACACTCACCCCAAGTTTTTCTCTGATGGATCCATCAGAGTATGAATGTGTGTGAATGTTAGACAGAAAGCACCTATGCAGAAAAAGTGCTTGAATGAATGAGGGTGAATACGGCTGGCTGTATAAAGCAGTTAGAGTGCTCAGGTAGCGGTAGTACAGAAGAACCAGTCCATTTTCCATTTACTGAGTCTCTCAAACTTGCTCGTATCAGGGGTCAAGGGTGTCGAACTCCAGACCTCGAGGGCCGGTGTCCTCCAGGGATTAGATGTGTCCTTGATCCAACACAGCTGATTTAAATGGATAAATGACCTCCTCAACGTGTCTTGAAGTTCTCCAGAGGCCTGGTAATGAACTCATCATTTGATTCAGGTGTGCTGACCCAGGGTGAGATCTAAACCCTGCAGGACACCGGCCCTCGAGGCCTGGAGTCCGACACCCCTGATCTATTAGTTCTTCTGAATCTCTGGCTCTCTTCCAACCAGTCCCTCCCTAACCTGGTTCTGCCAGAGGTTTCTTCCTTTTAACACAGAGTTCTTCCTTCCCACTGTCGCCGAGTGCTTGCTCAAAGGGGGGGCAGCATCTGACGTCTGGGGTTTTCTCTGTGTTATTGTGTCTACTTCACAAAGCACGTCGAGGCCAGAGCCATTGTGATTTGGTGCTATAGAAATAAAATAAGAATGAATTCAACATAGATTAAATCCAAGGTTAAGGTCGCATCATAATTCAGTTACTTCTTTACTCCACTACTTACCTAAAAGATCAGTCCATCCACATCTTTACACAATGCTCTCCTGTGTTGAACAGCAAGAACACAGTGATTACTGGATAAGCTGAATCATATGGGTTACATGCTATATCTGCTGAGTGATTATAAGCTCGTTAAAATCCTGTTTACCTTTAAAAATGTGGCTTAAAGGAAAGTTTTCCATGAGATGTCAGTCCTGCTCTCCTTGTTTCACTGCTTAAACAGTTGGACCGCGGTTTGTGTCTTGAGCGCGTAGAATTGTGATATTAGGATCGAATAAAAGGGCAGTACAGGTGAGATGAAGGTGAGAAGGACGCGAGCCAAGAGAGGAAAAGAGGAGACGAGGGTAAAGACTGTCGCGTGCATGCGTGGAGAGAGAGCAAAACGTGAATCGAAGCTCCTGCTGCTGCAGACTCGCCCCTGTCTGGCCTGCAGATGCTGGCTGCAGAGAGCCATGCATCCCACAATGCCTTGCAGGAATTCCTCGCTCCTGATGAGCACTAGACGCTGAACCTGGACGCGAAAGATAAATAGTTTCAGCGACATAACTGCCTTTAATCTGGCCCTCCAGTAACATAATGGGTTACAGAGACGGTCAGCCATCCGATTCCAACTCGAGGCAACAAGTGCTCCTTTCATCAAGTCAGCTGATTTTACAATGGAAATCCCTTGCAGCTGTTAAAATAGGAGCGTTGCCATCGTCTCTGCCCTGCGCTGAGGCCAGATCACTCCTCTGTCCTCAAATGCTCATTTTAGCCTTTTCCTTATAACGTCACGCTCGGTGGAGACTGCTTCACTTTCCCTTATTCTTTCTCTGTCATTGCCCCCCCCCACAGACGACTCCCCTCCTTTTGCTTTATCCAGCTCGCCATAATGCAAGCCGTCTCCGAGTTCTGTTTCCGACACGGAGAACAGAGGCAGCCTTTCTCTCTCGGCGCAGACAGCCAAGGACAGTTCGTTAAAAAGCCTCTCTCCATATAAGCGTTTTGTCGAGCTGCTCTCCGTTACTGTTCTCGGTCCAACAGCCTTCACATTCCACTTTCACACTCCATACACCAAAACCCTGCAGGTTATAACACACACACACCCTGCTGCTGCAGTGATTGCTGTGATTGCCCTGCCAAAGCGAGGCACCATGGGAATTGTAGTTTTCCGCGGTCGGACCCCTTTATTGTCTGCGAGCTCTGCCAGCACAAACTCTCCAACTCTCTTTCGCTCTCTCTCTGCGGCCCGGCGCTGTACCTGCTTTAGCGCTGCCAGCACAAACAAACGCACGCCAAGCTGATGTCGCCAGTCACTCAAATAGTGGAGCAGCTGGCAAAGTGCACAGATTAATGAATGATACAGTATATGCCACCTGGCAGGAGAAGACCTTTAGCAATGCTGTGTGTGCGTGTGCATGCACAACATACTTAGATTTAAGTATGTTGGTATGTTTGCATAATAAATATTACACATGCATGTACACGTTTGTGTTTGTCGCTCTGTTTTGCCCCCAAAATTCATTTTACAGCATCAATACTTTAAGAAATGTCCCATATAACGCGTTACTTCAGCTGATTGGCTTTTCCATGTAATTGCTGTGGATGCTAATGTCGATTCCCAACAGAAGTCTCGCTCAGATTCGTGTCCATATGTGCCACAAAAGCAGAGATGTAATTAGATTCAGCTGCTTGTACTTTGGTTGTACTTGTACCGTTCCACTCTTTTCTCTCTCAGTCTGCCTGTTCTGTCTGCAGCCCTGTCAGGATACGATGCTTTTACCCTCATTTCCATATTATCCCACATTCACACTGGTTAGAGTTTTGTCAGAGTGGCTAAATCAGAGGCGCATTTGTACTATCAGTAGGTAAGATGGGAGAAAAAGCCCACAGGAGGCCTATTTAGCACCTGTTATTCTGCAGTCAGAATCACCAGTTTGGGGGATTTATTTGAAAATGTCCTCCAATATCATCTCAGTGATAAACTGATCTGTTTGGATATCCAGGTGGGGTGAAGCCCTGCTCTCTCAACTGCCTCGCAGAAGGATACAACTTCTACACCGAGCGCTCTCCCGCTGTGGTGGATGGCACGCCGTGCCGAGACGACTCTCTGGACGTGTGTGTAAACGGAGAGTGTAAGGTGAGTTGCACGTGTTTGCCTTCAGCCAAAATATCGGCCATTAGAAGTGAGGAGACGGCTTAAAAGGACTCAACATAAAATTGTTTTCATCTAAGATAATGTTGTTTATAGTCACTTTCAAGGGTCTGGACGGCCGCCATTAAGTAGTATACACACTAAAAGCTGGAAGTCATCACAGTCAGCTGCTCAGCAGCCTTCCTCTTACTAATGCTCTCGTAATCTAAACCACTTAAAAACATTATTAGGATTATTATCCTTTTTGAATTTTGATTTCTGTGGCATTTTGTGCATTTTGTGCACTGAGCGCTCCTCAGCCCCTTTAAATCCCTCGTTAGGGGTTCAGACGTGTCACCGCGTAACATTTTTACACGAAGCTCTTCTATCGGCTTCTTTGGCATGCAACCCCCCCGAAGTTCTTACAGTAATCCTCCTAACGCTCGGTCACACAAGCATCGAGACGAGTCGGCAACTGCCTGGCAACCACTGGTTGTTAAGGAGAAATGTAAGCATACAGCGGTCCCTCGTTTATCGCGGGTGTTGCGTTCTTAAAATAATGATAGGCATAAACATTTTCAAACTTTATCTCGTGTTTAAACTCTCAAAGTTCAGACCTTCGTAGAAAAATAAGTCCAGGATTATAGAATGAAGCCAAAGACCAAACCCTGTTTCCAGGTCCAGAACATGGTACAGAAGTAGAGGAAGCAAGAAGAATGAGTTGAGTAAAGTTTGACGTATCTGACTGTTTTGTTTTGCTTAATGCGCTTTATAATCTGGAAAACACGGTAACGTCTACCTTCCTTAAGCATCTTCCTCTGCCTCCTGGGTGCTACCGCAGCTGCATTTGACTGTGCAAAACGTTTCGTCGACATTGTTGTTTGTTGGGGAGAAAACCTGCAAACATAAAGTGCAGCACTTCAGAGTCACGCTGCTAGCGATCGAAGATTTATGTAAATTTGACAAGCTGAATGCATTCTGACACGGCACGGAGGAGATTGATTGACAACGGTCTACAGCCAATCAGGACGCAGAACACAATGCGCTGTTTAAAAAAAAAAAAGCATGCAAAATTGCACAAAAAAAAAATCAGCGAAGCAGCGAGGCCGTGAAAGGTGAACCGTGTGACAGCGAGGGACCGCTGTGTGTCGCTCATTGGTTTTTGCTTTGATGGTCGCACGTCCGTCGCCTTTAGTTTGCATAGACGGCACCGACTTGTCTGCAAACGCCCGCCAACGATTCAGTAAGTAGTTGTAGGTGAGTGCGAAGCAAGCCGTAAACGGTGTGGGTTTAGGGCTGGACCATGTTTGCTTCGTGGTAAACAGACAAACAGTCTTTGTTCCTGGTTTGTGCTTCACCAAGCTTCACGCTATGGGCAACTACGGCAACCAAAGCGATCGCAAGGAGGTTTTTTTGAACCACGGGAACCAACCACCAATCAAACTGCTCAGCAATGAATAGTAACCATGTGGTTTAACATTAATGTTTGTCAACCTAATGCAGCCTCTAAATAACATGCTTAACCTGTCAGTGAGCATAAAGCTCATTAATGAAAACAAAGTAACAAACTGCTGTGGATTTTGGCCCGTCTGTAGAAGAATGTAGTCAAAAGAAACCCTGGTGGTAACGTAGTGCAGCTTACATGGATCCCACTGAGTCCCAGTGGGTTTATTTTGGATGCACTTCCACTGTGGCGAGGGCAGAGAGAAGAAAAATCTACTCAGGATATCCAGCTTGTTGTTTAATAGTTGTAGCTCAGTTTTGTGCCAAAAGATTTTATTTTTCAGCTTCCCCTCCGCTGCCACTTACCCCCCAGTAAGCTCCTTTAATAAAAGTGCTTCAGACTGGTTTCACTGGAGCCGAGGAAGTTCCATCCAAAGAGACGACTTTGTTTATCAACACCCCCCCTCCTTCCCTCCTTCCCTCTGTAGTCTGCTCTGTTCTGCTCTGTAGGAACTCGGTGACCCTCCAGCTCAGCTGTGAGTCTGTCTGCGCTGCAGGCTGGCTTTCATTCACTCCGCTCTTATTATCTCTCGCTTTTTCTTTTTTCCCTCTACACCTCTCGACTCCTTTCTCTCCCTGTCCCAACTTTCCACCCCATCCTTTCCGTTGTTCGTGCAGTTTCTTTGTCTGCAGTCCACCTCTTATATGTTTATTGCACACATAAAACTTTAGCTAAACTGCACAGACATCTCTTTCTCATCACATCTGTGACTTCAAGCTGCTTTTGGATGCAAAGTTGCCGTCTAACAATCAGAGAGAGGAGAAACAGAAAGAACGATGGACGTGTGGGAGGTGGGAAAGGGCAGGGGAACAGATGTTGAGGACAACGTGTTGTTGCAAACATCTGCCGGGGTCTATTTCTTTGTCCCCTTTGGTGCAAATATAGAGTGTAGAAAACATTAGTAACACCTGTCAGGTAAATGCAGGTGCGACCTGTGCGCTCACGGGCTGATCTGCCCGGTTAAGAACCAAAGATTCTGTGGATCGGATGATTTTTGAAGATTTCATTTTGGCACAGTTGCGACTTGACATTCCTAAGATAAAATCTACATGAAGTTTCAATTATTTTAGATTGTCTTGCAGTGGGTTTGGTCATTTTCATGACTGAGTTTCTTTCACAACATGTCAAACTAAAATCTAGGGCCAGATTTAAGTTAGCGTGACGCTTCGATTGCAAAAATGCGTCGATAGGAGTGGAAACTTCTGCGGGTGATCTGCTAACAATGCGCTAACCTATAAACAAAGATGCAGCAGGTTTATTTCGGTAAAATCAACACAATCTACCGAGAACAGTGCAAATTAGCCGCTCAAAAACAAACAGCCCCAGTGAGAGTAATCAACAAACCCAAATCATTCAGGCACAGGTTTGAGGCATGTGCTTTCTCCCAGGAAGCAGCAGGGCGGCTCAGCCCAACGAGGGGCAGCTGAGGGAGAATCGGTATGTCTTTATACAAGAACTCTTCTGTTGGGGAATGTCTGTGGGGTCTCGAAGATTGAAAAAGGAATTGTCTGGATAAATCGAACAGCCTAGTTGGAGTGCAGCGTTCATCCAGGGGAGTTACTACAAACTACTTCACCTTGTAAACATGCAGTCTGTGTGTAGCAACGTAGGAAGAACAAAGCAAAATATGATGCGTCCACTTAATGAAGTTGCTGTGGTACATGTAACATGCAGCATTTTGATGGATGTTTCAGTGTGTATCAGATACGTAACTGAGAAGTTAAAGAAGAAAAAATAAAGCAGAAAGTGTATTGGAAGCAAATAAACCAAAGAGTTTACAGTGTACACCAGTGACTGCAAATTAACTTAAATACAGTAATGATGTGAAACCTTAAACCCGTAAATCTGATTTATTAGTATTATTATTATATAATTATTGATCTCTGGCTCTCTTCCACAGCGTGTCTTTGTCCTGTCTTCCTTCTGTCACAGCAGATGGCCCCGCCCCTCCCTGAGCCTGTCTCTGTCGGAGGTTTCTTCCTGTTAAAAGGGAGTTTTTCCTTCCCACTGTCGCCAACGTGCTTGCTCATAGGGGGTTTCTCTCTAATACTGTGTGGTCTTTACCTACAGGTAAAGTGCCTTGAGGTGATTTTGGCACTATATAAGTAAAACTTACTGTGACAGAATATACATAACTAACGGCTTTTATGATCCACTGGCAGCATGTGGTTTTGGGTGGGACGCCTCTTGAAAGGATCATCGCCAAATTTTGGTGCACTCAAAGGTTTAGTGGATTCTAGGCAGATAAACTTGAATTGATTGGCACCGAGCACATTTTCCCCCACTGATTATTTGAATCAATTAACTTTTGATTTGATATATTTCAGTTACATTTTACAAATTATTGCTTTGTGTGTACATCCATTAAAAAAAATACGATTGTAATAAGGGAAGAATGATCAACCTTTTCATTTAGGAGCACAATCAGGGGTAGAGTCACATGTGCTTGCTCATAGGGGGTCATATGATCATTGAGTTTTCTCTGTATGTACAATATAAAGCACCTTGAGGCAGCTGTTGTTGTGATTTGATGCTGTGTAAATAAAATTGAATTGAATTCAAAGAAAAACATCAAATTCAAATCTTTGAGGAACTCGTTCCTGGTTTGTTGTGACATGGGTGCCAATAACTAATTCACTGAGTCATTGTTTCAGCTCTAAAATAACGGTTTCTGGATCAATGTTTATATTTGTTGTATTTAGTTAGATTGATCGAATGGACACAGAGGTGGTATGTGTTTCATTTTCTGCTGTTTGAGGACGGGGAAACCCGATCTGGGCAACACGTGTTGGGATCTCTAAGATTATAAGCTTTTATATCTCACCCCCTCCTCACAAAGCCACCGGACGAATCAGCATTTTGACTCATTTAATTCTGATCCAATCGCTGTTAAAGTCATAATAAACGTAAGCCTAATTATCCTGCTGTACAATAAGCAGCTGCCACAGGAATATATGAGAATAAGAGCAGTTGCTATTCGTTTTCTGCACTTTTGTTTAGGTTTGCTTCGCTGTAAAACAGTTTGAGTAAAACCACCTGTAACGCTCATCATGAAATTTATTTATGTCGACAGCTATGAGTTTAGCAACCTAAGAGCTTTATGTCTGCACAGGATCAGAAAAACACATCTGGAGTTACCATCTGATATTTCTGTGTTTTGAAAAAGTGGCCTGGAAGACATTAGGAGGTAATCCCTCAGGCCGGCCTCTGACACCTCTCCACTTACTGACTGTGCCCCTTCACCCGTGACCCCGAGTGACCCTGCGGCTCACTAGTTTCTCCCTTCCCGCAGCACGTCGGTTGCGACCGTGTCCTCGGCTCAGACGTACGCGAGGACCGCTGCCGGATCTGCGGCGGCGACGGGAGCAGCTGCACGTCTGTGGAGGGAGTCTTCAACGACTCGCTGCCAGAAGGAGGTAGAGGACTAAAAATAATCACCGGTCAATGTGTAAAATGCTGCTGTGTTGTTCTCAGTAGATAAAGATTCATTTATTTGGGGCGGGGACTTACTGCTTTTACTTTCAATATTTGAACGGGGTCCACTTCTCCGAGATTTGGATTAAGTTGAGGTATTTGCCACGAGAAATTATGCAATGTAATTTATCTGTTGACCCAGAAATGTGCACATTTGGACGCTCTGGAGTCTGAGTGCACCTTGGAAAGCTGCCTTGCGGTGTGAGTTAGGATATCCCAGACTTTCAAAATATATAATTTAATTGTCTGTTCTCATGCAAACTGCTCACAGCAGCGTGCTGCAAGGGTTATTTACACGATAAAGGTAACTAAACTCTACATCACGTCCACACGCAATCTTTTATTTCAGCACCTGTTGCAGTCGGAGTTTGTCTGATAAATGCTTCGAGATTAATGATGTGTTTACACATAGCAGGTGAGAGTTGATGCACTCCAGACTTTCGGTTGGCCATACAGATTGTAACAGTCACTTATCATTAGCACCTGGGGGAAAAAGGCAATTCCTGTTTTACAAAGTCTATAAATTCCTGAATATTCTTTTTATATGAATGCCACAGGAGTCTATGCATCCGTCCATCAGCTTCGAGTTTTCAGAAAGATATGCCTGCATGTCATCTGCATACCTTCATAACAAAATGTTGTTAGTGGGTTTAACCTGCACGGTGTCGCAGCATTAAGACAGAGCACAGGCCAGCTGCCAAATAAAAGTAGTTGGACGTTGTTTTGACGTGTAAAAGGAAACCAAACGTCACATCTGCATCAAATTCCACCCCAGGGTCATACGGACGCACAGCAAAACTCCTGGAAAACACTTAAGGAACGTGCAGATATAATCGTATGTTGCATACACCATACACTACATACATGTTGGTGCATTTATCCACTGGCCACCCAGGGACACGTGGCAGACAGATTTAGGTCAGGTCCAGCCAGCGTGGCTTGAGGTCCTGCTGCCGACGGATCTATTTCGGGTTACTTTCTCCCCACAACACCAACTCCAGAGTCTCTCACCCAACTGTCAACGCCTCTCACCCCCTCACAGGGACACACCCTGAGCAGGCAGCTGAACCACAGTGGCCAGGCCAGCCTGTCAACCCCAAGCCGAGGGATCCACTAACCTCAAAATATCTCACTTTATTGTTTCCTTTAAAAAAAGAAAGTCCATTAGTGAGGCTGAAGTGATGCTGCCCTGCAGCTGGAGCCAACTTTTGATCTGTGTCTTTGCAAAGGACGATACAGGCGGAGGGGCCACGGTCGAACACCCACTCCAATCTGTGCAATAACAGCGCAGCTACAGAACAAGCACTGTTAGTGGTAGTTGCACACCATATTTCAAAACCATGAGTGCTGCTGTAACATTTTCTTGGAAGGTTTTCAGAACCAGCTGCAGCAGTCTGCAGATGTGCCCAGACCAGTTAAGGAGGCACTGGTGAGCACAGCCGGTGCTGAAGTTCATCCCAAAGGTGTTTGATGGGGTTTAAACACCTTTGGGGCCACATGGACAAACGTGGCTACAGATTTTTTGGCACTATACATTTTTATCAGTACAACCAGCAGATGTGGCTCACTTGGATTTTAAATGTAAACTCACAAACTTGATCACAGCATGTTCTCATCTCCAGCCAAACTCAAACTGCAGGCACAGGACGGCCTATTCTGGTCGCCGGCAGAGTTATGAGTAGCAGAATCATTCAGTCGTGTCCACAGCGAGATTTTGATCTCATTAAACTTCTAAAGCCTCCAGGCAGTGCTTCTCTTCCTCTCTGTTTCGGTGATTTCAGGGCTCCCTGTGGAGCTTTTGACCTCCAGTAGAGCTGCGGAGCACGATGTGGGACCTAAATCTATGACTTCCTGTCAGACCGTTTCACTGTACCGGGCAGATGAGTAGGATTCCTTTGAATGTGTTCGGACTGCTGGTGAAAAAAGGCACTGGCACATTTGTAGACATTTCAAGTCTCCGGCCAGTCTACCTGCCTCACTGCCGGCCTGGTTGTGATAGGCAGTGAGAAGCCGGGTCCGGGTGCTGCACAGATCATTTGCTCTCTGTTTACCACACAGCTACTCTTTGTCTGAGGCTAAATGCTTCTCACTCTTTTCAAGTAAGCATCTCCTCCTACAGACCCGGAGCTGGGTCACTCTCAGGTCACGGGGTATACTTTATTTCTTCTTTTGTTCATTCCTTCTTCCTCTATGAGCTGAAGTTATTTACAGGGCTGCATCGGCTGGACTGCTGGCCTCACGGCAGAACAGATCCGAGGAAAGCAGTGGGAGAGCGGTTGGAGGTGAGACGAGCATAAAAGGGGACAAGAGACCAAAACAGATGGAAGGAAAAAGGAGAGAAGTTGGCTCTTGGCATAGTTCTCGCTCTCGAGCAAAGAGCCGAGGACCGCTGCCCAGGAATGCAGCTGGAATCTATAGCCTCTGCTTAGCCCATCGGCGTCCCACGAAGCTAAACACTACTTATGCATCACTCCCGTGATCCTGGGAGAATAAAGCTCGTTCGCTCAGTTTTCACCTTTTGACTTTGTGTGGCTTTATGTGTCTCAGGTTATGAAGAGGTGGTCAGAATTCCCAAAGGGTCCGTGTTCATCCACATACAGGAGCTCAACATCTCCCTCAACTACCTTGGTAAGACGATGCCCTGTTAGATTAGTATGCAAGTAGTTAAAAACAAGTCGTTGCACATAATAATCTTTTATGTCACTGCACCCCAGCACTGAAGAGTAAAGGCGATCAGTACTTCATCAATGGGAAGCTCAACATTGACACGCCACGCAGGTTCAATATCGCCGGCACCACGTTCCACTACAGGCGGCCCGCCGATGGGCCGGAAAGTCTCGAAGCTCTGGGGCCGACAAACATCACCCTGTTCGTCATGGTAAGAACAAGAGCAGAGACGCTCCGAGCAGGCCTTCTGAAAAGGAGGCAATACTAAGTGAGTCAGCTTGAATTTTCCTTTTTCGTATAGGTGCTGGTGAGGGAAGAAAACCCAGGGATACACTATCGTTTCAACCCGCCCCTCAGCAGGGATCCTCTGAATGGCTTTGCCTGGCACTACACCTCGTGGTCTCGCTGCTCAGCTCTCTGCGCTGGAGGTAGACGACACAAACGGGTGCCGGCGGCTCGATTCCCCGGCTGCACCTGGTTGTAGCTAAAATAATCTGCTGCTAATGTTAGATGAACTTGTTCCAACGCCACACAAACACCAAGCTGCTGGGATTAACTCGCTTTTGAATGTATGAAATCACAAATACACTGGCGTTCAAGGACACAAGCCATGATTGCTTGTTTCACTCATGCAACGTGTTCTTAACCTCAGGCCGGCTCCTGTGTTTGCAGTTTTTACGCTAAACTAAGTAGCTGCTCGGTGCGCGGCCGTCTCCTGTTTTTCCAGCAGACTCGAGAGACTAATCTCAATTTCCTCATCTAACAAATATGAAAGAATTTCACAAAGAATGTTTTGGTCAGGAGCTTTGACCCGATGCACGCTTGTGTTTCTCTCTAAACATGCACAAACACACACACACAAGCCCGCGGCATAAATCCCAGTAGGCGAGCGCTGACCCGGAGAAGACACTGGAGTTTTCTTGGAGTCGAAGCCAGAGGTGTTGGAGCACATCTCCGTAAGCTTCAGCAGTATCACACGTAGCCAACTTTTATTTTTCCTCCCCGGCGTTCGTGAGTTAATGACCCATTTCGCTTTACGTGATAAGAACTTGTTTTCCCTCTGGATGAATTGGCGTGGAGGCTGTGAATATAGAAGGAAACATTCAGACAGCTGCTTTTGTTTGTTGCGCTCTCTTTGTGGAAGCTTCACCTTGAAGTCTAAGGAGGCAAACATCACCTGGATGACTGAGAACCTACACAGATGTGTTATAAAGTAGACTTCCCTGGCTTTCACAGCTTAAACGAGCATTTAAGACACGACTGCGTACAATATGACGCTCGATCGGACAATGTTTACTCCCTACCAGCCGCTCGCAGCAGGTAGCTGCTCTTCTCGAGCCCGGCTCTGCTAAAGGTCACTTCCTGTTAAAGGGTTTTTCCTTCCCACTGTTGCCTAGTACCTGCTCAGAGGGGCTCATTTGATCGTTGCTGGTCTTTACCTTACAATATAAAGCGCCTTGAGACGACTGTTATTGTGATTTGTCACCATATCAATAGAGTTGAGTTAAATGATTATGGTCGACGCCTTAAACGTGTTAATAAGAGACGCTTTTGCCTGTAGGTATGCAGATCCAGCAGGTGGTGTGTAAGAAGCAGGCGGATCAGTCAGCCGTCTACAACCACTTCTGTGACAAGAAGAGCAAACCCAAAGAGAAGAGACGATCCTGCAACACTGAGCCGTGCTCCCCAACGTGAGTGGACTCACATGAGATTTCTGGATTTCCACTGAAACGTCTGTTATCACTGTGTACTCTATATCTGTCTAAAACTGCAGGTTTCAGTTTAGGTTCCTGTTACTCTTTCTATGATTTGGGCTGTTTTGTGTTTATTAGCTTGGCACGTTTGCACCTTTTCTACCTGTGCTCTGCTTTTTTATGCTATCATCTCCCTGCTTTTATTGTCATTACACTGTCCTCGTTTGTGTTACGTCACACGCATCCACACATCTTCTAGCTGGTGGACAGGAGAGTGGTCAGAGTGCAGCCGCAGCTGTAACGGCGGCCTGCGGACTCGGGAGGTGTTATGCAAAAGGAGGATCTCCACAACGGAGGAGAAGATCCTGGACGACTCAGCCTGCACCCCCCCTCGCCCTTCATTCACTGAGCCCTGCAACAACCACAGCTGCCCCCCTGAATGGCTGGCCCTGGACTGGTCGGAGGTAGGCCGGCCATCTGAGCGTTTCCCAAGAGAGCACTCTTGCTGTGTTTTTTAGGCAGCTCGTGTCTGATTTTGAAGCGATGCCTGAGTTTGAGAAATTCCTCTCGGATGAAGCAGTCGTTTCTTTTCCAGTTCAACCCAAGAAACCCAAACGTCTGCCAGCACAGAAAGTAAGAGTACCTTAGCCTTGAAATACACAACAGGGGCACGGAGCTCTGAACATGCAGCGTCACTCACGAATGCATGCTGTTAAAACCGTCACAGGGGAATGTGACAGCTAGTTTGAGGAAGTTTAAGGCTGTCGGAGCGCCGTGACTCTCTTATGCGACACGTCTTGTTGGTTGTTGCTTAACTACAACAGTATAAAAAGTCCTTCTTGTTCACTGCTTTGTTCCTGGAACGAAACTTTGTTCTCACAGTTCTGGATGAATTGAAACTGAATTAAATAGTGTCAGAAATCAGTCCGGGTTCAACTTTTCTCTGACGTCTTATGTAATGTAGCCATGGCAGGAATTAGGCCCAGCTGTTTTACAGGAACTCTGTAGTTTCTCAGCTTTGTTTCCTGTACAGCTGCTGCCCTCTGCTGAGAGAGTTGCGGTTTTACAAGCTGCAGCCTGCTGCACCTTCGCCTGGCTTCCTCTCTCGACCTTCCTGCCTGATGTTTTCTCTCTTTCCTTTTCTCTCTGCAGTGCACCCCCAGCTGTGGCCCTGGCTACAGGCACCGCGTGGTTTTGTGTAAGAGTGGGGAGAGTGGCGACACGCTGTCAGAGTCCAAGTGTCCAAAACTTGGCCGGCCCACCTCCAGGGTCCGCTGTAATCTGCAGCGCTGCCCTCCCCCTCAGTGGGTGACGGGTCCCTGGGGAGAGGTAAAACACAGACTCGGAAACATATTGGCCCCTTCCTGATTTCTTAGTTTTTTGCTTATTTGTCACACTTACATGTTTCAGACAGACAAACAAGTTTTAATATTAGACAAAGACAACCCAAGTAAATACAGGTTTTAAATTATGATTTTGTCGTTAGGGGGGAAAATGTGACAGAGCCCTTAAACCTGGCTGTGCCACTCTCGGCAGCAAGAGCTGCAAAATCAGGCGTTTGCGATATCTGACTTTCACATCGCTGTGGAGGAATTTTTGCCCATTCCTCTTTGCAGAATAGTTGTAATTCATCCACGTCGGAGCGTTTCTTTTTTTATCGCCTGTTTGAGGACACGCCAGAGTCACTCCAAAACCTTCATTTTGTTGTTTTAGCCATTCTCCCATCGGCGCCGTTGACCCGGTCTCTTTCTGATTGTTGAATCATGAACTCTGAGTTGAACTGACGCAGGCCTGCGAGGTTCACCACCGCTCTCACCGTGGTTCACTGCAGTCCCAAAACTTCCAGACTGTGTTTTTAGATTGTTGTGTGTCTTTTAGCCTGCTTCAGTCACACAGCTTCAGTTTAAGTGGTTTTTCAATCCGGCACGTCTGGCAGTAATCGGGGCTGGTTATAGCCGCAGAAATGAAACGCAAGCAACTACCTTTTCACATGAAGCCAGGTTGGTTTAGCTTTTTATTGCCATAATAAATTAAATCATCCTTTAAAAACTGCATTTTATGTGTTTTGTTTATTTTTTTACTAATGTTAAAATTTGTTTGATAATCTGAAACATGTAAGAGAGACAAATATGAAAGAACAGGGAATCAGGAACGCTTTCGTGGCCCTGTGTACACTCGTACAGTCTCTCACATACACTAATATTGACGGCGATATCCATCTGACGCATGTCTTTGTTCTCAGTGAAATGACTGCAGTTGTAAGCGCAGGATTCATTGTGTCTCTAAACGTGCGTCTTTGTGCTGTAGTGTTCTGCAAAGTGTGGTCTGGGTCAGGAGATGCGCTCAGTGCAGTGTCTGACCCACACGGGACAGCCCTCCAACGAGTGTCTGGATCATCAGCGGCCTGTAGCCATGCAGCAGTGCAAGAGTAAATGTGACACCAGTCTGCCCGTCAGCATAGAAAACCCTGAAGGTGAGAGCTTCCTGCCTTCTTTGACTGTCCTGCAACGTAATGTTGAATAAAACGAATCTTCTTCCTTTAGCGGTCGCCACAGGAAATCATCTGCGTCCACTCACCCTGTCCTCCTGTCACACTAACCCTCCTTCACTACATCAATAAATCTTTTCCTCCTGGTTCACAACATCTTTAACATCTTTAGTTAAACATGTCTGTCATCCCTCCTCTGAACATCTCAGCCTTTCAACTGTTCAATTAAAGAAACTGGAACAAATTATGTGCTTTAGTAACGAAAAGCCTAAAGAACAAATCTGAAATTGTGACGATGAGCTGTGGGGAACGTGGCAGCGGTGTGAGGACCCAAATGCAAAATGAAAGCATAATATGTTCCAAAAACACAAGCAAACATTTTCACCTCGAGCGGATATATTAGTAAGTATATGGTAATGTGGACGACTACACAAAGGACGAGGGAAGAATGAGGCGCTAAATACAAAAGGTAACGAGGCGAAACAATTAGACGAGTGAAGCAGAAATACAGCAAAGTCACAGCGGACTACCAAAGTAAAACAGGAAGTACCTAACCTGGGAGGACGGACTCGCAGGAACAAACTTGGCACGAAAGAGGAAGAAAACAATAAACTAAGCAAAATAAATTTGACTCAAAGTAACCAGAAAGTGAAATAGGAAGTAGGGCTTGGGGTGGCAAACAATAATAAACAAACTGCAGCACAACTTTAAATAACAACGAGCATTAAAATATATTTTTTTAATTTGTCTTGTGTAGATTTAAGTGAAAGCACCCGAGTTAAGTTTCGCTTGTTGTGTTTAGCTTCAATCTGTTGTGCTGATCTTGTTCATTTAAGTTAAACTGGTTGACCAGTTAGCAGTGGTACCAGCTGACATGGTGTAATCGGATTACACCATTTTCAGTGTAACAAGAATCAAAAGAGATGCTAATCGTGCTAAGGGCGAGTGGACCAGCGGCCCCCAACCCTCGGGCGGTACCAGGCCGTGAGTCGTTTGGTACCGGGCCGCCAGAGTTGAGGCTCGGGTGTGACATTTATGGTTTCCAGGGGTTTTTTTTTTTAAGTTTTTATCGTTAACTCGGTTTCCCCGGGTATTTTCCCGTGTGTTATAAATAAATCTTCTTTTTTTGGTGCTGCTTTGATTTTGTTGTATTTATCCGCGAGACCTTAAATCAGAATCAGAAAGGGTTTTATGTTGAGCAGGTTTACAACGTTAGGAAATTGCTGCGGTGCTTCAGTGCAAAACATACTGTCAGACAACACTTAAATAAAAACAAAAATAAAAGTGCTAAGCAGATAGATGTCTGCTGGTCCGTGAAAATATTGTCGGACATAAACCGGTCGGTGGTGCAAAAAAAGGTTGGGGACCGCTGAAGACTACAACTTTAGACAACACCAGCAAATAGAAAAACAATGCAAAAGCACGCAAAGCATGAAGGAAGTCGAATAAAACACAATAGATGGAGACAGAATATGAATAAAATATAAATCCTTTATAAAGACTTTAACGACGGACCAGCTGCTGAGACGACAGAAAGTGCAAACAAAGGATTGTTTAGTGCGAGAGAGAAAAACACTTCTGCAGCGTTTTTCTCTCTACCTGCGTTTTCTTAAACTGCAGTGCGACCGAGCTTTCAGGGCCGACGCATTAAGCAGTCGGGCTGAACGGTGAGAACATACAAAGATGACGCACCAATCAAGCTTTTGTCTGTCTCCCCCTCAGAGTGCAAAGATGTGAACACTGTGGCCTACTGCCCCCTGGTGCTCAGGTTCAAGTTCTGCAGCCGGCCATATTTCAGACAAATGTGCTGCAAGACGTGCCAGGGACACTGACTCCACGAGCATCCGGCATCCATCTTTGGGTCCTGCACACTCACACAGTAAGCCTGAAACCCTCCCACTGAGCCTCATAGCAGCACCCCTCACTCTGCCTCCGTCGCAGGAGCGTGGGATCTAACTGGGACGCCATCACACGGACGCCCGGTCCTATATCTGGTCAGAGGAGCTGTTATTCTCCAGCCAGGACCCAGATCGGACACCTCTCCGGGCCGAGCTGAGTTCATACATTCCACTGGAGGGAAGGCTGTTGAGACCCGGAGAGGCAGAGAGACTGAGATTACCTTCCCCCCTCTCTCTCTCTGTCTCTCTAAACTTTCCCTTTATTCTAATATTTTGGTGCTACTGTATTTCTCTTTGGCCACAGGACTGGTTGCAGTACTTTTGAACCCCGCTTGTTTGTTTGAGTGTCTGAAAAGTTTAGCCTTAGCTCTTGAACCTCTGTGTTAGGCGGTGATATTTGCTTAGTTAGTCGTTTTTCAGAAATCCACTTTGTAAAGACAGTTATTTTCCAGATCATCCCCACCCACAGAAAAGGAATACGGTTGCAGGTAGATCATCTGCGTCTATGTTATCAGATAGCTTTTACTTGACCGCGTCGTTTTTATGTCGTTGCTTTGTTCCGTGTCGGCGTATTCATCGAGTTCTCGCTGTTATTCAGCTGAAGTATGAGCAGAGTCCGATTTGCACAAAGAGTTTGAGGAATTTTGTATTTCGTGTTCGTTTTCGTGTGATTTGATGTCTGTGTGGAGACTATAAATGTCTCGCCGCAGTGAACATGCCACAGTCTTGCCATGTCGGTTACTTTGCTTAAACGTAATCACCTCGGCTGTACGACATCGCTTCTGTCGACGGCGCTTCATCCACGAAGGATCCAAATGAAGGAAAATCCACTCGTCAGAGCGCGCGGCACGTCACGGTGAGCCAGCGCTGCCTGCGGGAACATGCACGGCGAGGATGAGAGAAGACACCTGACCAGGCGGCCTTTCAGAGAGCGTTGTTATCGCAGGGGTGCGCGATTCACAGGCGGCCTTAAGCCTTCGTTCAGACTCCTGTGGGAGCAACGCTGACATCACATTTCTCAGTTCACGTGTGGTCATGTCACCCTCTCAGCAGCTGGGAGCGCGCCAGCCACAGGCTCGCATTGTCTTCCCCGTTGCAGTGCAGGATTCATGCATGACCAAGTTTTAATGACCCACTTTTCCAAATGCAGTTTCAGCTGCTTTTATATTACAGATCATGCCGCCTACTGCGGCTCAGCATGATTCATCAGATCTGACGGCATAAGCGTGACATGTGATGTGCTCTGAAAGCCCGCTGTGGTTCCACTTTTCGCAGAAGTCCCCGCTGGTCACAGCTGAAAGCAGCGCCACGTAACGCTAAATGTCATCACAATGAGAGGAAGCTGCAGCACGTCTTTAATTGTTCTTCCCTTTTTTGTTTTCTCCTATGGTGCTCTGGTTTTGAATGGTGCTATCACTTCACTGTTGTTGCCGGTTTAAACACTTAGAATCCGTTTGAGCCTTTTGTGTTGAGTACTGACCTGCAGAGGTGGCCTGTGGCGTGCAGCTGCTTGGGGTCCTGCACCTGCCAGGCGCTGCGTTTGGGTTCCTCTGATTTTTCATACGTAACGCTGCTTTACTCGGGCTGCGGTCGAATAGTCAGTCTTTCCTGGGAAGCGTCTACGTAGCAGCTGTAATAAGAGCTCCGGTGCGTCTTTATTACCTCATTTAGCAGATGAGTCCTTTTTTACACAGCCGGCAGAAAACGCAGCAGGATCAGGCCGAGCAGGTGACCTGTCCCAGCACGGTAGACCCGCCTGCCCAGCATTAGGCAGCCCACTGCCATGAATCCTCCTCCACATCTTTCCGTGACCTCATCATGCTTCCCATCCATGTCAGCAGGGAGCAGGAACGTTTCCTTCGTCTTTTTCCTTTTTTCCTCCAGCTGTTCGACTGCAGCCTTCAGTGCAGCGCCTTCAAATCCCAAAGTGCAGCTCACCACATTTGTGGATCGTTTGAAAAACAAAACATTTTGATATTCAGAAAACTGACTTTTGGAGATCTGTGCACAGCTTCTCAAACATTACCCTGCTAATCATCAAGTATATTTATAAGAAGTGCACTCGGGTATAACCTGTAACATTTGAGAGCGTAATTGTTGCAGAGAATCCCGTTAAAGCTCATTTACACCTGGTACCGACTCGCCATCGCGTCAGCTGCGCACACGTGATTGTGTCACGGTGCAAACGCTGGTTAGCGTCACAGATGTAGTTCACGTCTAAATCGCTTTTAATGATCGAACGCTGGAGCGACGGCGTCGCCGCTGTCACGCGTGCACGAGCCGACAGGGAGGAGAGCCGGCAGACGCTGAACGTTTCCCCTGCATCGACATCACTGATACCAGGTGTAACTGTGGAGCTATGACGAGAGCGCAAACCCGACTTACCTGATCCAAGAGGAGGGACAGCTTCAGTATTTGTTATTCTGTTTTACACATGCTAATTATAACATGACATGTACTGTATATTGTTTAATACTATAGAAGACGAATCCATTTGTCCCCCATGTAAATCTTTTGTCAAAGGAAATATTAAAAATGATTAAACGTGGTGCAATGTTGATTGTAAGGATTTCTTTATTTTCTTATTAGAATTTTAGGTTTCCGTCATCAAATCTGTCATCCATATTTGTACGTATGACACAGCTGGACTAAAATATCACCGCGTGTCATCCCGCCCGAGGTTTAGATCGTCAGTTCGTCTATTTCTGGATCTGCCCTCTGTCACGGAAAAGTTGACACAAGAACCTCTTCCTTTTGTCTCAGTGAGACTTCACTCGTTTACCAATCTTTAAAAAAATGAAAATGGTGACGTGAAAGTTTCTCGATATTTTTATGATACATTTTTATTTATTTAAAGCCGAGGAAAATTTAGTTTGCTCAGATTCTTTAATACTAAGAACGCCACAGCAGCGTTAACTCAGCAGAAGTTCCATCCATCCATTTTCCACGTGTTCAATTCAGGGTTTAATACAATAATCAAGTCTAAATAAAAAACTCCTGTGCAGATCCATAATAATAATAATAACTTTATCAATAATAACTTTATTGATCACATTCACTCAGTGAAGCATGTAATGTAGGAAACCACATGACTCGTGAGAACACATTTTACACCAGTTTGAAATCTGAACAAAGCGTCCTCTCAGTTTCTGTAGATCTATATCTATAGAGAGAGATCTTGGGGTTATTTGCTTCAGCTTATCAGGGGGGGGGGCAGTCTTAGGGCGAGAGGCAGGGTGCACCCTGGACAGGTCACAGGGATAACACAGAGAACCATTCGCACTGCCACATCCACACCTATTTAGAGTTTCCAATTAACCTAACCCCACTAACTGGGTGTCTTTGGACCGTGGGAGGAAGCCAGAGCACGCAGACACGGGGAGAACATGCAAACTCCACAGACCTTCTTGCTGTGAGGCAAACGTGCTAACCACCGTGTATATATATCTCTATATTTATCTATATAGATATATTTTTTCTACTTACTTCTTGCTTTTCTACTCTGACGGAGCACTCAAAGAGCTTTACACAGGCTAGTGTACATATCTTTTCTTATGGATAGAGGCGGGCAGCGGTGGCACTGTGGTTAGTACTGTTGCCTCACAGCAAGAAAGTCTGTGGAGTTTGCATGTTCTCCCCGTGTCTGCGTGCTCTGGCTTCCCCCCACGGTCCAAAGACACCCAGTTAGTGCGGTTAAGTTTATTGGAAACTCTAAATTGCCCATAGGTGCGAATGTGAGAGCGAATGGTTGTTTCTGTGTGTTAGCCCTGCGACCTGTCCGGGGTGTACCCCGCCTCTCGCCCTAAGACAGTTGGGATAGGCTCCAGGGGCCCCGCAACCCTGAAAAGGATAAGCGAATGGATGGATAGAGGACTCGAGAACTTAACTGCTGTTTGACAAAACCCATCTGCTGTTGGATGAGATTAACCAGTGAAACTTCTGTAACAGATTTTATGAACATCAGTGTAGCTACAGAGAGAACCTACAAGCCAAGAAAGGCTAGATACAAATAAATGCATTGAAAAGATTTTAAAAATCAAAGAAATGGACACCAATACTTGTCTATAGGCAGATCATAGGACAACAATTAGTAAACAGATGGAATCATCAGACTCAAACGCTGGGCTGATGTTTAAAGATTCCAGCTGTTCTCAGCTCCTCTGGCTGACGGTCCCGCGCTGGTTCATACACGGCGAGCGTGAGAAACACATGCACCGAGGCGAGACGTGAAGTGCTTTAAAAGGATCTCAAAATCAGCAGCAGCTCGCTCCTGCGTTCCCTCCGGTCCTCGTGTGAAGCGGGTGTAGAACGTTTAGTCGGAGAAAGTTTCTTCCTCTGTGCTTTAGAAGCATTGACTGAAATTTACACCCGCACGAGGATCTAGAACAAATTTAAAAGGAATCGAGGCCGCTGGTTTAGGTCACAGCTCGAGCAGCTGAGCATGCACCACAGGCCTAAATGCAGGCCTGCATTTGTCTCTGCGGTCCCGTGTTATCAGGAGACACGGCCGCATGCAAAACACATCGCTATATATTATGTGCAACACCTGAAAAGAGACTGAGTTAAAAACGGTAGAAGTAATTAAAAGGAGGCTCATGAGACAACCTCGAACACACTAGTGAAGTTCCAACCACAAAGACACAAAACTAAATACAAACTAAGAAAAACGTGACTTTAAACGACAAGAGAAAAAAAGGAGTGCACTGACAATAATGAGAAACAATCAGAGGTGCAATCACAGAGAAACCCCACATCTGAAAGAGTCACAAACCCGCCCGTGAATGAATGAGACCTGACCCTGCGCTGGCACGCGCATCTTGCAGGAGCTTTAAAGACTCTCGATCCAGCTGACGTAAAACACAGGAAAACCAGCAACTGACACCTCCACTCACACACTACAAAGTCGACTCTGAATGAACCCGTCTGTTATTATGGGCGTTGGAGGCAGCAGCCTCTCTGACAAGACAAACACTATGAGAAGCCGCTACATGAAGCGACCACAGCCTGGGTGGAGCCGCTAACACACGGCTGAAACACCATCATTTGGCAACTGATTTAAGATAACTATCCCCTTTCTGCGGATGAGCGTCGCTTGCCGTCAACGCTCGCCTGCTGTGCGGCAGGCGAACTGGGCTGACTAATTGTGCCGTGGACCCGGCCGTCGTTTCTTCATCCTCCCGTCTGACGACTCCGAGCATGACAGAGCGCAGAATGGAGAAGTAAGCGGCTGGGCTTCATGCGGTGAGTTAATGTGCATCAGTGTGTGTTAGAGCAGTTCTTGTTTCACACACACTGCCGGTGGGAGTATGAGGAAGTAGGTTTTTGAATACTGTACTGGATGTCTTGTAGGGTGCTGGTTGCTGTTGGCTGTCCTGGTTGTGCGATGGCAGCAATCTAAGGTCAACCTGTGGATTTTTTACAACACGCGCAAAACCTCCCCCCCACACCATCTCTCTGGACAGTGGACGGCTGAGGAGGAGAGAGGCCCGCGGGAACAATGGTACAGTACAACCACCTGCATCTGCTCTCACAGCTGTAACATTTTGTGCATTTCAGTTACCTGTTTGCTGTGGTTTTCTCGGCTGAAAGGGCGAATTGTGATGGCTTTGTACGTTTTCAGTCAGTTTTCTTTTGCAAAGCAAATTCAGCTCATGTCACTTCTCTCCTTTTCTAAAAGCCAAAGGAGGATTTTTTGTGCTTTAAAGTGAGTTTTGGCATCAGAAGAGATGAGATAAGATCTCTTCAGGGGAATTCATCTCCTTCACAGCAGCAGAGTGATGTTTCCTCTTTTTCAGGGACAAGCTCACTTTCTCACAGACTCGAGCTTAAAGCAGTGCTGTGCGATTTCAATTTGAGGCACAGGTAGAAACTTTCAATATCATAGACAGAGTAAGAAAGTGACCAGTCGAGCAGGAAAGACAGATGAGCTTGAATTTAAAGGGAGGATAATGAGGAGTGGTTCACTCGAGGGGGGCTAACGGACCGAGCTGCAGGCAGCTGCAGGAAGAGAACTGGTAGCATGTACAAAGTTTAGAGGGTTTCACAAGATGCAGCAATGAGGTGTGAGAGGGGAAGTGGACTACAGGAGAGGCCTGCAGTTTCTGTCACAACACTTCCTCCTTGCACACAGAAGGTCTCCACACATCCAGGATCGCACAGCAGTCGTAGCTGCACCAGCAGCCACATCTGACAAATGGAGGTAAACGAGCAGTTTCAAGAGGGAAGAAAGTGAAAATGCACGCCCAGCTCCCTGTTTACACGCCACCTTTACATTTAGGCTCCGAGCCATTTATCTGTCATCATCTCAAGTGTGACAAAAGCTTTCAAATCTGTGTCGCGCTCGCCTGTTTACACATGACAGCAAAGGAAGAAAAGGAACAAAACCGTGCCCGACAGAAATAAATTATGAGAAGTGTCAAATGCATCACAGGGTCGTCTTTTTCTTGCTTTCTTTAAACAACTGTGCAGAAAGTTCCGGTTTGATGTGGAAAGCTTTTGAGATTCAACGTCTGCTGATAACCACACCTCACCGCAACTGACTGGCATGTAGTTTGTGGTTCTTAAGGTGTTGGATATTTGCATTACTTTTTTTTCTTTTAAAGGCGGCTGGTCTTTCAGTGAAGACTAGTGTGATGTCATCACAGCTAAAAAACAGGAACATGTTTTTTTCTTCCTGGTGGACGATGTTGACTTTTTAAAGGTTGTATAAACATAACTAATAACTTTACCTCTATAATAGTCTCTCCAGTCCTACAAACCTACTCCTGAACTAGTTCAATACACGAGTATCCATTTAATCTGTACACAGCTCCATTTAAAAATGATATAAGATTTAAAGGAGGTCAGCTACTGCGGGCAGCCGATGATTTAATCTCAGTTAAATGGCATCTACTTACCCCCTTGCTTTGCATTTTAATATTGTAGGAAAAAATCTGAGTATCAGAAAGCATCAACAACAATCAGGTGACCCCCTGTTAGCATCCAACTGTCAACAGTGGGAAGAAAAAACTCCCGTTTAACAGGAAGAAACCTCCAGTGGAATCAGCTTCAGCCATCTGCCATCGAGACAGGACGACAGGCAAACTCTTACTAATTGCTCGTGTGTGATAATCTGTTAACCAGCAACGACGTTTGTGTATCAGCTCATCAGTAGGTGATCATTAGATTACCAACACCGCATCAAAGCCGTTTAACCTCTTCTAGTAAAATATTAAAGACGATCGCAGATTCTGATCTCGCAGAACATAAAAATCTGGTATTTGAGTTCTATTTAAAGAGACGCTGATCTCTGCTGTTTCTCTTCTAGTCGTGTTGTCATCACGTCACTGAAAGGCACCAAAGCTGTGAACTCATCCTGCCAGCAGCACTGTCCGAGTGCTGACGCCTTCATTTATAACAGTCGTTACAGGGCAAATTCATATTGATCCACGGATAAAAATAGTCCCCAGCTTTGGCGTAGTTTGGGCCTGTTTAATGGAGTTTGTGTCAGAGTCATATCTGATTTATGCTTTAAGCTCAGAGGGTGTGAGCACTGGCACGTATATGAGAAAAAAGAGACTC